TAAAGTATAGCACCAAGCAAATAATAATTTAATATGTCGTCTAAACGGGTGTTTACAGGGAATGCATGACATCTCTACAGGCACAACAAGTTAGGTTATAAATCGCAATCGTGAAATATCGTAAATTAAAACTTTTTCGAAAGTTTAGATTGTCCAATTATTGTATAAGCAATTACAAAGGATTATCCTAAAAGTTAAACTGCGAACCCTCCACAATGAACACTGCATATATTTGGGTAAGTGCTATTCCCTCACATAATTAAAAGGTATTTCAGGAGGAGAACAGCATCCTGAGAAACTGCAGTAATATTTTCTAGCTGTTCGGAATTTTTTCCTTTGATGCAGTTTCTTATCAACAGTTTGCAGTATTCATAGTGACTTTAGAGGAAACTTTATTCTATCTTCACTTTCACCAAATGTCCCTTCAATTACAATAGCATGCAGTAACTACATACACTCAAGCATTGTAACCTGAACATCACAAAATCCCTACAGATAACTTGTTTAATAATAAATGCTTTACAAACATGAGCCATAAGTGCACCTTCCATATCATTCATAGTCACAAGTAATTCATTAAGGATCTCAGAATATCTTAGTGATCTGAAAATGAAAAATTATTAAGACTGATATAACTTAAGTAACACGTTTAGTAGTTGTAGGACATAGCTGCTAACTACTATTCCACAGAAAGCTGATTCTAATTTGAAGTAGTCTGACATTTTAGAAGGACCATCTATACCATTCTTTTCGCCCAATTGATCAATGATATCAACATAATCTAATGCACTCAGCAATTACGGTCTCTCGAAATTCCATGTGACAACGTAAATTAAACTAGTATCACATCTTCACCTGAGCGATTTTAACTAGAAACTTCATCGAAATGGATATAATCACCAGGAAATTCAGCAGATTGTCTCATTCATCGCATGCTCTCTTCGATGTGTTATGGAATATTTCAATCATCACGGATGATGATAAAAAGTGTTTGGCATCCTCAAAACGTATATTTAACTTGTGTCTGTGGGCTAGTTCTCCTTCAAATGTCTCGTTATCATAGAATAACTGCTGTGAAAACAACCATTGCCTATAGTTAATTTTCAACCTTAGTATCCTCAAAAAACTAGCAAATAACAAACCATTACGGCTCTAAAACGCAATGAATAGTCTTTCTATGCTAAATTTCTTATATACGATGAGTTCTTGAAGTAATACATCCTCTGGGATATCATGACAGTTTTATCCATTAATACGAACACAATACTGGAAAATATTGCTTTTTTCGGCTATAGAAGCCTGAAACCAGTCCTATATAATCTACTTTCACAAAAATAAACGCTTATAACGCCTCTATAGGCGTGAACACGATAACCCATACAGTGCGCGATAATATATCACGATAACGTTTATCATCACTCAAGACGGTCCCTTTGTCCAATTCATTCTGTATACCATTTTGAAAATACCCTAGGTAATCACATTGGAATGTATAAACTGCTTTTATGTCATCTGCAAGGATGAATGGTTTACCATTTGACAGGCGAGCGCACAAGTCGTTGATATAAAGTGTAAATAGGAAGGGCCAAATGACGCTAACTTGAGCCACACCAGAAGTGATTTGGCTGAGTTTCGAAGTCACAAACGCAAGTCTAACTATTTGGGGCATGTTGTTATGGGGTAATTTAAACCGTCCCAATAGTGGGTCAATTATTTCTGAGGAATTCAGCTTACGTATCTGCAGCAAATTGTTGAAGCCGTTGAATGCATTGGAAATGTCAAAGCAGATGACGAGGGCTAGTTGTCATTTGTCATGGCCACTAGTCACAAAATTAAAGAAGTCTAGATGTCAGGTTAAACATGATTGGAATGTCAGGAATCCATGTTGGTTAGGACTTACAATATTGCAGCTAAGCATATTCCTGAGTACGTTTTCGTTAAGTAGTTTATCCACAATTCTACATGATATACCGTTAGTGCCAAAACCTTTGGAGGTTTTGAGAATTCTGTTGGCTTGGTCAGTGTTAGCATAAGTGAATTCAGTCGTGCTAATTTGTTTTGGTGTAGGTAAAGATAGAAGTTGCGTTATATTAATAGGGTGTATACCGAGTGATGGGACTGTAGGCTGAAGGTAGTTAGCTGCAGAAGTTTTGTAAGATAATGTCTGCTTGGTCAGTGTATGGCCTACCTTTGTCCTTGATGAGAGAAATGCCGTGGTTTCTGCAACTGCATTGCTTCTTTAGGATTTCTGGGGAAGCACACACCCTAACAGAGCTGACTAGTGCGGTGTGTTCTTCGTTTCTCATACGCAAATGTCAAGCTTATGAAATGGAGCTAGGAGTTTTAAGCATCAAACCTAGTGTGCCAAAGTCGTGGTGTTTGAAGCAACTTGTTGAGTCTCTTCAGTTTCGTACGATCCTTTCGTTTTATAAATGACTTTCTATGTGGGGGAACCTTTAGTGTCTGGAGTGGAGTGACAGCATCTAAGCATGTGTTTGAGTTGTGGCAGAAGATGCTCAGAGCTCTCGAGAGGTCATCAGTAGTGAAGTATTCGCCCCATTCAGAGGATCTTAGCATTGATTCTACGAAGGTCCACTTTGCCTTACTATAGTTGTTAAATATTACTTGTCTTGAAGCGGAGGTATATGCTGCATTGCTACTCAGTGGAAGTGGCAGTGCACACATTACTGTTTTGTGTTCACTACCCAAAAACCCACTAAGATTGAGAGGGGACTTAAATAGTGACAGAATATTAAGTCCAGTTCGTTGTCACCTCTTGTAGGGATAGTGACAGCTTGTTTCCAGCCGAAAATGTCCAGTGTACCTAAGAGCTTGTCATATTTAGTTGGCCCATTTAATAAATCCCAGTTAATTTCGGGTAGGTTGAAGTCTCCACATATGATCTTATGCTCCTATAGATGAGTGGATACTTGCCCCGGCACATATATAAGTTGTGATTCGTAATCACTAAAGGTGCCAGGTGCTCTGTAGATACATCCTATTGGTAGTGTAGCACTTTTGAAGTGTACGTTGACCCATAGGGTGTCGTACGTGTGGTTGAGTTCCCCATTTTCTAACTGCAAAGCAGTAAGTGTGTCCAAGAAGTACATTAGACAGCCTCCTCCCTTTCCACCATTCCTGTCGCATCGAAAGTGTGTGCACCCATCGATACTTGCCTATTCGTCTGGTATATTAGATCGACACCAATATTCAGTGATGATTATTGATGGGGGCTTTTGTACCAGCCTGTATGTCCTGGACGTCAGTAGTTTGCTAAGGACAGATATAGCATTAATAATGATCAGGTAAAGTTGAGAGTTGAAATGATGTTTAAAGTACTGAAGCTCCTTAATCAGGGTCAGGTGCGGTTCGGCATTCATTGGTTCTGCGTCGCATGGCGTCCTGTGTTACAAGTGGTGTCAATACCATGTTCACCTGTGTTTATAGAGTTATTATCTGCTCCTTTAAGTGAATAATGAGTTGTACTATCGGACTCGCTAAAAAGTAAGGTAATTCTAGGCTTAGGTAGGTTGGAGACATGGGTAGGAGTTTCTTTTGGCTTTTGTTTGCACATTCATTGTTTGTGACTAATAACTGCGTGCGCACTAGGCTGTGGCTACTTTCTTCCCGAAAGGGAGCCAACGCTAGTGGTACGGATTGATAAGAGTTAACATCTCCACCACCTGTTTGGTGAGCGCTGACAGTGATGTGGCTGATAAAAAATTACTGGTAACTTATAATGCCAAAGCTTATTATTCTGCCTACCTGGGTTTCATTATGTGCGTTACTGCACTGTGGCTTAATTCCCAGCAGATTTGTGCCATAGATTCTGTCAAAATGTTTTCGTGTGCCATTATCTGGAAACCCAGAGTGGTTGGTAGATGAGCTATGAGTATTGTCACTTGTACCATTTGACATGGTGGTGTTGCTATGCTAGCTCTTCGTGCGCGCTTATATGACTTGGCATATAATGGTAGTATGTGCTGGCGTGATTGCCCATGAAGAGTATGGCTTTATTTCTACTATCCGTGCGGTTGCCAGTATAATTTTATGTCTTACTTCCTTCCCGGCAAGGATTCTTCTTGCAAATATTATCAAAATAAATTTTACACACAATGGAGCAGTAAGCTGCATTATTAGACAACCTCTATACTAACATCTAGCCAAACAGACTATCCGCACTTACCTCAGAATCAAGGAGGGTAGAAAGCGGAAGTCAAATCTCAAAACGGTTCCTTCTTATTTAAAAGAGAGACTTCTCAGGGAGGCAAAGTCATTTTTGTCCAAAATTTACTGAGATATTTCGAAACTTTATAAACCTTTAATGTAGTATGACCCCAAAAAGCCATCAATCAAAGGCCGAAGGCTTAACGCTATTCTAATGAAGCAGTCTTCATGGACGTAAATTGGCGAAGTGACACGCAAAAGTCCATCGGAGAACAGGAGCCGTTTCCACCCCATCTGAAAACAGGACAAATGAACTCATTTGGAACTTACTAGGTCACAAAAAAGAAATAACATAATAGATTGTAGAAGAAGTAAGCATAAAAAGAGAAAAATACCTACTACTTTGCAACTCTGTCTCTTGAATTCACAACTTGTTTAAATTCACTTCAATGAAAATTTAGACGCGGCTTTTCATATTGAAATATACGTTACCGTTGTGGAAACACCTGGAAATGAGTTTCAAGTAATCATTACATAAATACAACCTCGTCTAAAAGACTTCGGGATACTGGATGTTGGAAGCTAATTCCATAGCATTTCCTATATTGCGCATATTGTGCCCTTTATCATATTAGATTAGAGTCAGATAACGATAGTTTTTCTTCATTATATCATCTTAAGGTAACTAATAAATTCCTCTTTCCATCACATTTAGAATGCAAATGTAATTCTGTACGTATCTCTCTATGTTTAATTGTGTGAAAAGTTATGTGTATACATCTATCTCGATATTATCACATAATTTCCAAGAATCTGAATACCTAGAAATTTCAATGATATTTCACTATCTATTGTCAGTCCTTCTATCATTTTGTTCAAGTTATGTTGAGGGTTAGTGCACACATTTAACTTAGCAAATGTTCATAATATTTTTAACAACGAAAAACACATTTTATTATTTAGAATTAAGACACTTGTAATATGTGCATGGGATTTTTAGAAACCACTGAGCTGGTTCTTCACGTTAATTGTTCCGAGTAAGACGAAATAATTTCTTCGCTATATAAAAGTAAGGCGCATCCCAGTAGTCCAAAGCATGCATTCCAAATCACCATTAATTCACCATTCCACTAACACGAAGACCGACATTTGTCGATGTTTGGATTGTCTCGCACTCTTATATTTTCAATTTTTGACTAAGAACAACTAGAAATACAGGCACTGTATGCGCCCGCTAAGCTTTCAATTCACAACACATATCGCTTCCACGTAATTAGTTCTTGAAAGAGTCAACTCTTTTGCAAGTTAGTCCCATGTTTATATGAACAATATACGCATGATAAGTATTCACTAATCCTCACTAGACTGCATAAACTGACTATTTGTCGGTAATTAAATAATTCAACGTAGAAGACAGCCTATCTCCCACTAAATAGGTTGCGTGATATGATTAATCCTAACCACATATCTAATCTCGGGAGAAGGAGGTAGCATATTATGTTGGAATTCACTTAAAAATATGCTTCACAAAGCATACTTCTCTCTTCTACTAGATGTGCGTTGAATCTGTTCAGCTTCCCTTATTTCTCTTGAGATAAGCCATGTTTGCATAACATGAACATGGATCGATCGAGCCTGCATATCTTAGTGATTCGAAAATCCACAAACTCCGGAATGAGTGTTTCTGCAAGTTATACTCTGACACAAAACTAAGCTGTGTATTGATTAGACTAACAGCAGCGACCTTGAATAGTGCAGGGGGTTATAAGAGTAATGCATTCTGACTTGTCCTTTAACGGTCTGTAGTAGGCTACAAGGTTTTATGTGTAGACGAAGTTTACGTTTTAAAAGGTATAAAGTAGTTCTCTGAGCTTTGCTGCAACATATAACTAACGCCTTTTTTCCTCCAGGTATTTTAGCCGGGAAGTAGTAACAGGTAAGCAAAGTTAGTCAGTGATCAATTTAACCGCATCACCATGTTTGTAATATCTAAGTGCCCATATCAATATCCAGAGACATTTTTCATCTTCTGTTGACTCTGTGACGACTACTAGTGACAAAGGCCAGAGAAACATCATCTCCAGTCTCTTAAACATGGGCTAGTGACCTAATATTTGAACTTTCATCACCTTTGAATAATAAGTTCCCACACCTAAAATCTGGTATCTCGCGCTTAGGAAATATATATTTTTTCTGAGATATACACAATCGTGTGTAGTTATTTGCTAAAATTCGCGTGGTTGACTTGGTGTTTCTAAGCATATGAAACTTATGAGTTTCAGATGATAACTTATTTAATTGTGGTGAAAGAATATTGTTGAACTCAAGAGCAGAAGGTTCACTAGACATTCGAATCCTAGTTGACAGTCGCTTGTGTGGCGAATGTCATCAAAAATTTGTGGTAACTAATGGGGATTTAGATGTCCTTCGATGTGTTTTGTTGTCTTCTCCTACGCACTAACTAGCTGTGGTGAGGAAGAAGTAAACGGTGACAATTTTCAAATGCTGCCTAGTTACCCGCTTAAAGCAATAGTCAATACCCGTTACTATTTAGGCCCACTAGCAGGAACAATTTTAGAAGAGCTGTGGCTAACAAAGTAATCTTTGAGGCGTATGCAACTTTGGTGAATTCACTGGAGAGATGGCTGGAATTTTCAGCGGGACTTCTTGATGGGCATTTCAGCTGCTCAGAAGCTACTCGCCATCTAGTCCCAGTATGAATAGTATTTAGATATTAGTCCCCCAACTGTCCCTATTGTTTAAAAATGTTGTTTATTATCATAAATACAGATTAACAGAGGAATATAAAGGTGTGACTCCAAATATCTTAACGATGGCTGTAACAAACTAATGATGGGATTAGCTATAGCATTAGCATGTGTGTGATAATCCAGGATAGTTCCATCGAAACGGTGAGTGTTGTTGGTAATCCCTGTTTTCAGAAAGGAAACAAGTCTTCCGGTGGCAATCTCAGGGAGATTAGCTCCAGCAATATGCTACCTGGTATTCTATATTTCATGGTACTCTGACATTATATGAAGTTCAGACAAGGATGCGCTTATTATATCACCAGTCATCATCAGCTCCAGGAAAAGAATGCTTACTGGTATTCAATACTTTCTGCATTTCTTCATCTAGAGGCCAAATATGATTTAATCAATCAACAGGTGATACGGCTGTGAAGGGTGTTCCTAGCCACTCTACTAGAGTTCATGCAGTCGTGTTAAGACCTTAGGGGGTGTTTTTCATCTGAAGTGACAACAATCAGTCTTATTCACCATAGATCCCTTGTATCACCATCTGAAATTAATTTCATTAGAGATTTACTGAAGAGGTTAACCACAGCTGACTTCTGCATCACTGAAGACTGACTGGTCTGGTTGGTTAGGGTGGAGACATTTACAGAATTTAAGGTTTACTGAACTCCTTAGATGTCAGACTGTCTGCATGAGGTCCTGAAGATGCTAAGAATCAATGGTTGAAGGCTGTTGGTGATGGGGCTAAAAATCCACTCAATGCTACTTTCCAAATTCTGAAAACTTTCACTTTTCTTCAGTTAAATGCTCTTTTTCCCATGCGATTTTGTCTTTTGTAGTTTTTTTCTTTCACGTTCCCACTGGAACATAGGGCTTCAAGCTAGTGGCTTGTAGTTTCTGTAGCAGTGCTTATTTTACAGGATGAGGTTGCCAGCCTCATGCCAAACCTTTCCTCTTCACCAGCATTATATCTGGCTTAACGAGGTAAAGGAGTGAGTCGGCCGGGGATCGAGCCCTGGACCATGTGCATGGTCGGCGAGCGTCCTAACCGCTATGCCACCGATGCTTTTGTAGTTTCAATACGTCTTATTTCCTTATCTTTACGAGCAATTTTATGAAATGCGGTAGATTAAACTAGTGCATTTCTGTGCAAAATTTTTCAGTTATTAATTCAGTCAATCACTCCTAACAGCTATAAAATAGGTAAGGTTGACTAATTCAGAGGAAATTAATAAAATATACTTCTGTAAACATCTTCGTACAATAGTTTCTTAGGTTTTGGAGCTAAATATCCCTCGCGTTCAGCACTAATTGATTATTTCTTCTGAAAGGGTAGTTAGATTCAGTGAACAAACTTCATTAAAATGCCTACAGATATGTTGTATGTTATTTTTAACTATTTTACAATTGAATATTTGTCATGGTCTATGCACTTTTAACCGAAGTTAGTGTATTCATGTAATCCTAAATCAACTGGTAAAATTTTACATTTCCATATCAGAATATTAGTCAATTATTTTGGCCTATCCGCATTTACTTTGACAATTTAATTCCCATTCTCTTTGTCACAAATATAATATATACCTGTAGTCGTCAATATAGTCGTTTGGCATCACTTTTAAGTGATTACACATTTCAGGTTTAACCACGGATTGATACTATTTAGAGAACCACCGTTGAAAACCAGTACTCGAGTACTGGACAGTTAGCTGTTTCATCAGCCTACTTTCGGACTTATCGCTAGTACACACCCACCTCACTGCTAGGGTCCGAACTGAGGAGAATCCGGTTAAAAGGCGATCTCTTAGACCATTTAGACACTGGGATCCGATCCAACAGCCACCAGCCCATGAATTTTAACTCTTACCACTTCGTGAAGTTTTTAGGGCAACTGGCACTGGCCAAGGTCATTGCTAGTGAGTATTCGTCTTCCTTTCTGACCGGGTGAAACCCAATGGTGACGACTTATCACTACAAATCCAGACAACTTTTTCCTTCTGTAGCTAGCCAGTCACTAGCGAGAATCAGATTAATTGTTAAGACAATGACAATGTGGTGATATATGCACTGGATGAAAAACTCACAGAAAACTGATTATCACTATATGTGTGGTGAGAGCTGTCTACTAGCCAAATCGGTAGACAGTAATTTACGTCAATATTTACGTTCCCAAGATTTGTCGTGAGAAACAACCAATCGGAAGACTGTGTTTGTTTGTTTACATATCCATAGTAATGTACATGAAAACATATATAAATATGCGTTGATTTCCTTAATAAATGATCTGTTGCCTGACTCTTGCCTTCTGTCGTTACAAATACGTTGTTCTTATCAAGCCACTCTACTGGAGTTCATGCAGTCGTGTTAAGACCTTATGGAGTGTTTTGCATCTGAAATGACAATAATCAGTCCTATTCGCCATAGATCCCCTGTATCACCATCTGAAATTAATTTCATTAGAGATTTACTGAAGAGGTTAACCACAGCTGACTTCTGCATCACTGAAGACTGACTGGTCTGGTTGGTTAGGGTGGAGACATTAACAGAATTTAAGGTTTACTGAACTCCTTAGATTTCAGACTGTCTGTATGGGGTCCTGAAGATGCTAAGAATCAATGGTTGGAGGCTGTTGGTGATGGGGCTCAAAATCCACTCAATGCTACTTTCCAAATTCTGAAAACTTTCACTTTTCTTCAGTTAAATGCTCTTTTTCCCATGCGATTTTGTCTTTTGTAGTTTCAATACGTCTTATTTCCTTATCTTTACGAGTAATTTTATGAAATGCGGTAGATTAAACTAGTGCATTTCTGTGCAAAATTTTTCAGTTATTAATTCAGTCAATCACTCCTAACAGCTATAAAATAGGTAAGGTTGACTAATTCAGAGAAAATATCTTCGTACAATCGTTTCTTAGGTTTTGGAGCTAAATATCCCCCGCGTTCAGCACTAATTGATTATTTCTCCTGGAAGAGTAGTTAGATTCAGTGAACAAACTTCATTAAAATGCCTACAGATGTGTTGTATGTTCTTTTTAACTATTTTTCAATTGAGCATCTGTCTTGGTCTGTACCATTTTGAGCCAGAGTTAGTGTATTTATATGATTCTAAATCAATTGGTAAAAATTTTACATTTCCAAATGGGAGTACTATTCAATTATTTTGGCCTATTCACATTAACTTTGACAATTTAATTCCCATTCTCTTTGTCACAAATATAATATATACCTGTAGTCGTCAATATAGTCATTTGGCATCACTTTTAAGTGATTACACATTTCAGGTTTAACCACGAATTGATACTATTTAGAGAACCACCGTTGAAAACCAGTACTCGAGTACTGGACAGTTAGCTGTTTCGTCAGCCTAGTTTCGGACTTACCGCTAGTACACACCCACCTCACTGCTAGGGTCCGAACTGAGGAGAATCCAGTTAAAAGGCGATCTCTTAGACCATTGAGACACTGGGATCCAATCCAACAGCCACCAGACCATGAATTTCAACTCCCACCAATTTAGAACAACACATTTAAGCGAACAATATTGTTTTCAATTAGATCTCATCAGGCTTAACTCCAATATATATAAATTAACAAATAAAATTCAAATATAAACCAATCATGGTGTTTTGTCGATAGGATAATACGATGGTGAATATAAATTGTGCAATTAGTCATAATAGAAGTAATGATAATTATAATAATACTACTAATAATAATGGTCTTATCAGTAATAAGGATGAAAAAGTTAGGCAATCTGTGATAACACGAATAATGAAAAAGAGTATGATTAAACAAACAACTGTTCAGGTGGAAGTAGTCTATAAAGGCTAGTAAAAACAAGTGAACCGATTAAGTAATGTTAGATTGTAAGTGAAAGAAATGAAACACGTTTATAATGAAGATAAGATTAAGGGATGATAAGAAAGGGGTTGAAAATATAAACAAAGGGTGGTGTAGAAGTGATTAGTTGGTTATGTCTTAATAGGCCAAGGGAGGGATAAAGGCTGTACGAATTTCCTTTGAATGCATAGTTTAGGTATAATAGTTTGAATACATATCGCCTCAGCTGTGTGTAGTAGACGAATACGAAGTCTATTGGAAAGATTCGGTGGGATACGATGAATCACTTTGAAGGCTCTCGTTTTCTCGATTACATGACCACTATCAATTAAGTGTGACCGATTTGTTAATTTTTGCACTGAAACTGGTAATAGCCAAGGTCATCGCTGGCGAGTATTTGTCTTCATTCCTGACCAGGTGAAACCCAATGGGCACGATTTTTCACTACAAATCCAGTCCTTCTGTAGCCAGCCAGTCACTAACGAGAATCGGACTAATTGTTAAGATACTGACAATATGGTGATATATGCATTGGATAAAAAACTCACAGAAAACTGATTATCACTATATGAACTAGTATCATCTAGTTCTTTTCATTTATTATAACAACCAGCCTTCATAATATACAGAAAACAAATTTAATTTTTAATAAATGAATACTCAGTTTTTGAATAAGGCATTAAGAAGACAAATTTCGCCGTGAGATGACATCGTCATTTCGTAGTTTCTTTACAACCGCTTTACAACTAACATGGTTAACAATAATAAAATAAAGGTCATGACAATTACTCAGTTAAATAAAAAACACAAAAGTACATACTAATGACCAATCATATTTAGATAAGTCATGTTGTCCATGGTAGGCGAAGATTGAAGTCTATTGTTTTTTGTACACACAGTTTAGGTTGTATGTGAATAATCCCCCAAAGTGCTTCCATCACCTTCGATAATCAACCTTGAATTAGAGTTATGTGAAATAATTGTGAAACAGTCATTAATATTGATTGATTTTGTGACCTGACATTAATAAGTGTTTTGCAATGGATGATGCTGGATTTCTATTCAGATTACTCGCATTGGGATTTTCTATATGATTTAGTAGCCATTTTGGAACATGTTCTTTCCGACGACATTGGAACATTCTGTCGGTTCTACCTATATAGGTGTCACCGCAGCTGCAGGTGAACTTGTAGATACAGTTTGAAGTAGAGTCCACAGAATTTCGTCCTTTAATCGTAGGCACAGGGATTGAAAATGTTCAGCAAATGAGAAAAAGAGATCTGGCGTAGAACGTGCGTTTCATAGCTGACCGAAGTCTTTGAGCTAACTGTCAACTGCATAATCTGGTCACCCTTGAATGGTAGGTTAATAAAGAGAGCTTTCTTTGGTACAGAAGCTGTCTTTTCGAGATGTGGTCTTTCTTTACTGTGATTGGTGATGAAGTTCTCCGGATACCCATTAGCTAATAATAATACATTCAGAAACTGTGTTTTTACTTATGAATAAATGGGTATTTTTCGTGAAATGAATACTCCACAAAAGTGTTACACTCTTTTTTCATTTACCTTCTTTAAATAGGATTTAATTTCCAGAAATTATCACCTAGTTCACTGGAGAGATCTAAGATAAAAGAGGGAATCAATGAAATTTCTGATGAGAAAGGAATTCTACGTAAGTTAGATTTTATTTTATTCTCTTTAAGGTTTTGTTCCACTCAAACAAAAAGTAATGTAGGTATTTAGCTGATTTAATTATAGCTGAGACTATCCGTTTCCATTGAGGCTGTCGTGCGAAAACATTGAACAAATGGTGCGATAAGTTGGTGGGTAGTGACTAGCAGTGGAATCCAGGACAACGCGCATTTCGTCCTACTTGGGATCAACTCTTCATCTGGATGTAACTGCGTTCCCCACTGAAGCTCCAGCCCAGTACCCATGCTATCGAATACCAAAGCATTATCCACTAGACCATTTGGGGGACGAGTGCCACCTCTTGTGCAATGAGAGTCAGTTGTTATTATTATTATTTAATTCAGTTTGAACTTTTGCTGCTGATTGGCTTTTCATACATTCGGTTCCTTTGATAAATTTCGATAGAGAAATGAAGATCAGATTTGCAGTATAAAATAATATCATCATTCTCTTTCACAGGTTCTCATCAGCTAACTGCAAACTACTTCAATGTTTGAAAGGTAATAAAGAAAAGATTATAAGATGAACGCATCCGGAATATAAGTATTAGAATTTGTTTAGTTTAAGTTACCATCGATTTATATGCTTTCTAAATAGAAAAGGAGGAGTGAGGAGAAGATAGAAGACATAAAAATCTAATAAACAATTTTAGCTTGTACATCAACATAGCAACTCAAGAAGGTTAAAGTTCACCAAACTGAATAATTTCTTAGTGAGCTGAGCTCATTAGTGTGCATGACTGATCAGTGTTATGAAAGTAATACGGTTACCAAGGGAGAGAGAGATTCAATGAATGTAGTTCAGTGAGCAAGTTTCTAGTTTTATGAACAATGAACCTTCTTGAGTTGATATGTAAACACTGTTTATTAGATTTTTTATGTTTTCAATCCTCTCCTCCCTCCTCTCGTCCTTTTCGGTTTTGAGAGCACATAAATTGATAGCGATTAAAACTAAAAACAATTGTAATGATTTTATTCGGGATGAGATGATTTTATAATGTTTACTCTACTACTGCTGTAACGACAGAAGACAATGGCCAGGCAACAGATCGTTTATTGAGAAAATCAACAGATATTTAGAGATTTTTATGTACACCACTATTAGCGTTATTGTTAGCAGAGAAGCAACTTCTTCTGATTAGTCGTTTTCGTGCTGAAGGTTATTCTGTACCTCTTATGACCGTTTCTTAGAAGATTAAGCTATAGATCTGCGAATTGTATTTGTACACGCAAACTCTGCTGTGATTGGTTGGTGAGTTCCTCAAGATTAAGCTTTGTTATTGTTTTGTCTCATGATCCCAATTCGGGGCGTAAACATTGACGTAAATTGTTGTCTACAATTCTGGCTTGCAGACAGCTCTCACCACACTATCATTCAAATATTGAAGTGTGTCACAGTCATTATCAATAATCATTGTAATTTCAGGTAGTGGTGTGCAGCTGATGAGAAGCTGTGAAATATAGAATGATAATATCATTATATATTGCAAATATGGTCTTCCTTTCTTTATGTCGAAGTGACTAAGGGAGACTGATTGTAGTCTGTATTTACGTCAAGCACCTAATTGTTATATTGGGGGCTTATTTGACTTCATCAAATCATCAGATTTAATACATTTTATCCCACGTAATGAATTGGAATAAAGCAAGAACAGCAGTTTTTGCAGAATAAAATAGTATCACCATCGATAGTTTATTGGCTTCTCATCAGCTGCTTACAGACCAAAGACATTGTTAAGGATATGTACAGAAATAATTTTAATATACTTGCACATAGTTCATTTTTAAACAAAAATCGATCATTATATGCATACAATAATGATATATATATGATACTAAACACTTTATCCCGAACAATAATGACCATACACAATGGAAACTTTCAACATTACGTAATCAAATGAAAGAAAGGTGAAAATATCCAGTTACCAGGGCAAAGAAAGACCGATAACTGTCTCTTTCTGAACGCATAAATGGGTTTTTAAGCGATTGATGGGGAATGCCTCAGCAGACTTGAGGAGAATTAAACTCTTTTACCTGTTGATAATTTTGAAGGATCTTGCGATGTCAACCTTATGACCTGTGTCAAGAAGATTCCTGGCGATAGCACTGCATAAAGTATTTGTTCCTTTTAAACATGGGCTTTTTCGTACCTGTTCAAAAAATCGTACGTATGCTCTTGTTCTTCTTTCTGTTCTTCCAATGTAACTGCTTCCGCAGATATATATAAATTGGTATATACAGTCGGAGTTAACATGTGAAGGATGTCTGTCGACTTTTGATTGCACCAAAGAGCAAATTTTTCGATAGATGGGAACTAGCTTAGCTGCAGGATAGGCTCTGGCTAGTATCGTCTTCAATCTTCCGTTGACAATTGCTGTAATATTTTCACCTTTAAAATCAAGTTGAATAAAGATGGGCCTGTTTTTCCCCACTGTGATTTGCTTGACATTTGAGCCTTCAAATCTTACCTAATTGTAAGCAGCTGATGAGAAGCCAAGGAAATAAATGATGATACCATTTTATTCTGTAAAAACCACTGTTGTTCTCACTTCATTCAAATGCATTAAATTTTTTTTTGATTGCACACTAGTCAGTAACCAGTGTAGTTTGTCTAGTCCTATCTTCGGTGCAGACTGAATTCTATCAGTCATGTTTGCAATGTGGTCACCATGCTAGGTGGCTTACCGTTACGGTGGACTGTGAATTGTTGGTATTAGATGGTTGGAGGCAATCGGTAGGAAGCCTTGGACCTAGGTTCCGTGCTAGTTGGCACTCATCAACAAGACGTATCTGCAACCTTGAAGGAACTGACGTCCCTTCTGAGATTTGAACCCGCGTTACCCAGTGCTGCAGTCAGAGACGTCAAGATTGCAGATACGCCTCGTTGATGAGTGCCAACTAGCACGAAACCTAGGTCCAAGGCTTCCTACCGATTGCCTCCAACCATGTAATACCAAATGCATTAATTACTTCTATCATCTTATATTATATGCAAATAATTCATATATTTATTTAGATAATGCTATTGGTACATTGAACAATATCAATGAAGACAATATATTCGTACGTGTTGGTTCCAGTGATACATTTCGATGTGGTATATTGCCTAAAAGTGTATCCTCTCAACTACAAGGTGTTTGGAATGCTGAAATGATCAATGGTGAAATGGATTTATTATCTTTTAAAAGAATCAATAACACTGAGATAGTTATTCAACCACCAATAGGTGCATCAATCTATTATAAAACTGGTTGGACAGAAATCTTGTGCTCGTTTAATGAATTACAAAGTAATAAAGTGATCTTTAGTTTTAAACGGCTAATAAAAGTGGTTGGTAAGTCGTGGTGTATTCAATTAAAGTATTATTATTATTTATTATTCTTTCCTTTGATTCCTAGAGGAACATAGGGCTTCAGCCGTGCGTCTCCATTGCGTTCGGTTCTCTGCTACAGTCTTCACCTGGCCCCAAGTCTGCCCACACGTTTTCATCTCCTCTTCACATGACCTCCTCCAAGTCACCCTTGCACTGACGACCAACTCGCCGCTTCCCTTTCGGTTTCCACTCAAGGGCTTGTCCAGTCACTTGATGGTTTCCTAAGAGTATGGCCAATCCGTCTCCATTTATTCCTGCCTATTTGTTTCACAATCGGTTCCTGGTTGGTTTGCTCATCGCCAGGTATCTCTGTTGCTGATCTTTTCTCATCGGCCATCTGATCTTGAGTATTGAGCGAAGACAACTGTTAATGAAGGTCTGTAGTTTGTTTGATGTGCTCTTTATGACGCGCAGTGCAAGTCTCTGATCCGTATAGTAGCACTCACTTCACATTGGAGTTGAAAATCCGGATCTTATTTTCGATGCTGAGTGTTGTTGGCCTCCCCACAGACTTGAGAGTAGTGAAAGCTTGTCTTGCTTTTCTGATTCTTGCTTTGGTATCCTCGTCAGTTCCGTTCGCCTGTAGTTGAAAGTATGCTTCTTAGGTAGGTAAAGGAGGTAGTTTCTTTCAGGTTCCTTCCATTTATGCTGATCGTTGGCAATTAAAGTATATCCTTTCAAAATTTGTAAAACAGTTTGTGTCTGTTTAATATTTGTAGGCATTCATAAAAGTTTTAATTGCACTTGTTTCACCCCATTTTGGGATCTGCGCTGGTGATAGGCACCCACTGGATGCTAGTGGTTGTGAATGGTCTACAAGTTTGCCCTGTAACCTAGAAGGTCCTGCTTTCGAACCTGGCTGTTCAGCACTCCTTTTACACTTGGTTATTTCTTTAGTAAGGCACACCTGTGTACAAAATTTTCACATTTTTGATTTGGATTAGAATTGAGTGAGTTCCTATGAGATTATCATGGGTGTTAGACAATTAAAACTGATTAGAATAAATGCAGAGTATGTAGGATTTAAAACAATTAGTTCCCTTTTATGAATTTAGATAAAGCAATAAGAAGACGTAATTTGTCTGAATCGCGTATTGTGTATTTGCGCACAACACATTTCGAACAATCTGATCACACACGGACTTGTCATAGGAGTACATATACATGAAATTAACAAAGAGTTAAGAGGTGAGAAAACACACTTAGGTCAACTTAAAAGGACATATTGAAGGTCGAAATACCAATGAAGACCATTAAACCAAATAACAGAGGTAATAGTACATCTATCCTGGCTGGTATCAAAACAAAATTTACCAAGGAAGGTTTAGTGTGATGACGAATTGTTGATTTGAACGCATGAAGGTGGTTTAAACTTCCTAATTGCCAGCTAAAGCTTCTATCAACTTTAGGATACGCCCCAAACACATTTTATAGATAGGTTTAAAAGATGTGCCAACGTTAATTTTATGTCTTGTCTGTATAATACATTTCGCAATAGAGGAGTTAGGTCTCCTGTTCTCACCATTAATGGGTTCTGAAGATTCCATTTGTTTCTGGAGGCATTTAGAAATGGGGTTTTAAGCCCTTAGTTGCAGAGATCGATGAGTCCTCCCTATGTATGTGTGTCCACACGCACATTCAAATCGGTAAATACAACAGTGGGATGTGACATCATTTTTCGCATGTACGAAGGGCTTAGATAGATATATTTGCTTCACATTCTCAGTATGCCTAGTCATCGCCTTCCTCGACGGGCAATGTTAGCTGACATAGGGTCAGTCTGGAAAAGAGCTAGCGGCGGTCAAACCAAAACATGGCACCACTCAATGAAATCCACAACAGTTAGTCTAGGCCAAGTAGGAAGGTGTAGACTTCCTGACTGGTTGGGGTCCTCGGGACGATAAAAACCAATGATTGGAAACAATTGGTGACATGGAACAAAATCATTCTCAGTGGCGCAGATGCATCCACTCCTTGTGACTTATGATTTCCAATGAAACTGTTTTGTCCTCCGTTATTACTATTCCTTTGTCTCACACCTCTGTTTACTGTCTATATTATGCATTTCTTCTACTTTCTTCTCTTGCTTTGTGTGCTAGAAGGAGGGAGTGTGGCGACTTGAACTGCCACACATATGTGCAAAGTTCTATGTCGAAAACCGACCGACCGCATAAAAAGTCTCTTTAACAGCAGCGTTCAATCTTTATCTAGTTATCAAGCTGCTATGATGCACCATATAGGGTAGCTTGATGTACACGTCTTTCTTAGGGGCGGGTTGTAGAGTGGGTCTTGGTGTTCTGACTACTTGATATCTCCTGATGAACTTGTCTGGATAATTGTTATCAACCAGACATTTGTGTCAACTTTCTTTCTTCTTCATCAAGTGTATCTTCAGTGCCTATTCGTTGGATTCTACTGAAGAGGCACCTTGCTAAGGCTCTTTTGTACTGATAAGACAGTTGAAACTTGTGGTTGAATTAGTTCAATACAATTAATAAGAACCAAATAGACTGATCATATTTCCCAGGATTGTATCTATTGTTGTGTTTAGAATGTTATTAAAACGAATATACTTCTTTAGTATCATTCAGAACAACATGACGTAGAAATTTATTATTCTCCCCTTGGGTTCCAAGTGGAACACAAGGCTTTTGTTGATTGGACACTGGTCAGTAACTAGTGTAATCTATCTAGTCCTATCTTCATTGCAGACTCAATTTTATCAGTCAACTCTGCAATGAAGCCGCCATGCCACTCGCCATCATGGTGAACTTTGAATAGTTGATATTAGATGGTTATAGGCAATCGTAAAGAAGCCTTAGACCTGTGTTTCGTGCCAGATGGCACTCATCAGCAGGGCGTATTTACAACACAGAAGGAACTCACGGCCCCCTTCTGAGATTCTCCTACCAAATGGAAACCAATTCAAATAAACAAACGATTCAGTATTCACCAACGGTGATAGGGTTTAATAACAAAAACAACTAAAATTATTAATGTTTTGAAGTTAAATTTACTGAATAAGTTGTGTTCTCTGAGCTGGTTGATTTAATTGCTAAGCTTTCGTCGTCTTCTTAGAAAGCATCTTCAGATCAGGTTTCAGTATAAAATTTACTCTACTTTTTCTCCTGAATAGTGTTGTTCACACAACTGTATTTCTTTCTCTCTCTCTCTCTCAACCTAAGGTTGTCCGACATTTGGAACTTTAAATGGAGTAGACACGGGAGAAGTTATTCTACCGTTTGGATCAAATAAAAAACTTCGTTGTGCTATAAAACCTGATAATATTGAATCAATACTGAAAGGTTATTGGTTAGCTAAACAAGTAGGCGGTGAAAAGGATCTATTATCGATTAAATTGCTAAACAATACAATAAGTATTGAACCTCCCGTCAACAATGGTAGTTATGAAACTCCAGGTGTAACTGAAATTCAGTGTATATATAAAAGTCGACAAAATACCACTTTGTACAGTTTCAAAAGAACTGTAAGAATAGAAGGTATGTGTGTTTACTGGTTGAGAGTGTAAATCTTTGAATAATTCTTTATGTAAAGTTACAGGATTTCATCATGAGTTGACATCGGTTGGAAAACCACTGGAAAACGTTCAGGGAATACTGGGCAGCTGCTTCGTCCTAGTTCGGGACTCTTCACAGCACGCAACAAATTGGGTTCAAACCCCACCGAAGAGTGCAAAAATGGGACGAAACAGCTGCCAGTAATCCCTGGAGGTTTTCCAATGGTTCTGAAGCCATCGTCAGCTCATGGTGAAATCCTGTAACCAATTAATCAAATCACTACAAACCAATACTTGTATATAAAAGTGTTAGACAGGTGGGAAATGGACTTCTTCCTGCTAAAATCTGAGTAAGAAGTTTTTCACATCAGCTAGGGAAGTTAGTCGGTTCACCACATATACAAAACCAATTCTTGAAAATTAATCTGATGTTCACTAGCGAATAGCCGTATTCGGGTAGTGACCTGGGGTTCTAGTGGGAAACCGTGTCCAGTAGGGTGCAGAAGGTTGAAGGTAAGGCAGTAACTCATCAAAGAAGACATTGCGAAGTGGTCGTGTTATATCATGGATTGACAGAAGTTCGAACTCATGGGCTGACCACTAGATCGGGTCTCAGTGGCTAAATGGCCAAGTTCGCCTTGTAATCGGAAGGTTCTGGGTTCGAGACCCAGTTGGTGAGTACTGCCGAAGCGTCCCAAACTAGGACGAAACGACTGTTTAGTACTCCCAGGTTTTCCAATGATTCTCTAAATGATGTCAGCTCATGACGAAATCTTCCAAACAACCAAACATATGTATATGCGACTAATTTAATCCACGCTCTCAACAGGCATCTACCTCTACTACTATTACTACCACTGATATTACAGGATCATTGTCAAGTCATACTGAGTTGCAAAGTTCGCATTGTGATGAAAATCTGTTAAAAATTACCACATCAAAATACGGTTTTCTGAAAAGTACCGGAAAAATACTTTGTCCTGATAACATAATCATCAACTGCCAACAGGCTGATCTGCTTCTTCAGTTAAAACCGGAATTTAAGCAGCTTTTTATTTTATGTACTAAGGATATACAATTCCAGTTGGATAACAAAATGTATCGCCAGATTGATGGAATGGTGATGGAGTGTCTATTGGGTCCTGTATTAACTGATATTTTTATGGCCACTCTGGAACAGACAAAACTCAAGAGTGCAACTGATGAAACAAAAGCCACTTATAGATACGTAAATAACAGATTCATTGTTTGTAGTCATTTGAATCACGCTTCATCTCTACTGGGCTTATTCAGCAATGTATATAAGAGTATCACTTTCACGACGGAGCACGAAGACACTGAAAATTTCCAATTCCTGGAGTGGATGGACACTCAAGAGATTGATATATGATAAGGACATTCGGAGCGGTCTCCACCTAAACTTCAGCGGCTTCTACCTAGTCAGTTACAAACGAACTCTGGTGAAAAACGCTTTTCTCTAGAGCGAATAGGATATGTTCACCTGACAAATTAAACAGTGAGCTAATGTTGCTTTAGAACTGTTTCAAAGAAAATAGTTACCCAAAAAACTTTATTGACAAAATATCACAAGAATGAACTTGAGAAACGTGATGCAGCTACGGTAAGCAAAAAGTCAGTTTTCGTCGAACTCGACTGTGAAGGTGATGATATTATGAGTAACACAAATAAAAGATTAAGCGCAGTCCAGTCGACGACGTATCCAGCAGCAAAATTATACTCTCTTCTCCCGACATCCTTCTCGTTGGTGCAGTCAAAGATCGACGAGTACCCCTCATATATTACCTACAAATGGGTATACCAATTCACGTGTATCTGCGGGAGCAGTTACATTGGAAGAAAAGAAAGAAGGGCCTACCTCAGATTCCTCGAACGCGCACCAAGGAGCTTCTGGTTGAAAGGGTTAAACAGTTTAAGCTCTTCAGTCACCAAACGCCTGATGGACTCATGACACCGAGTAGACGCGCTGGCATCATTCATAAAAATTAGCAGACAAAATTAGTCAAGTCTTTTTCGGTTTGCTGAGGCTATCGCAATAAAACGCCTGAATCCTAATGTATGTGTCCGCAAGGAATCAAGTTCCCTGGCGGCTCACCCCTTAGTAACTCTCTGTTTTTTATTTTCATTAACTTCATCTTCCCCCCGCTCTTTCTTTCCATTTTATGTCCATAAGAGATAATTCTTCTTGATCTTATGAGTTCTACTCATCATATTCTATCATCGTTTCTTCATTTCATCTGTAACACACCAAATTTTGATCCTCTTTTATCCAACTAAGTAAGCCACGTCATTTTGGAAAGAATTAAAGTTGGCATGGATGCATAACTCCACCTGAAGATAGACTTTTCGACCTCGAGTATGCAGACGGTATCGTCTTACTGTGCGATAGTATGCAGGCTGCCCAAATCGCACTTAATCAGTTGGCGATCAGTGTCTGTAAGTATGGTATGTGCTTTGCACTGTCTAAGTGCAAAGTACTGTTACAAGATTGGCAGGAGCCTGTACCTGCACTCACTCTTGCGGGTGAACCGCTTGAAATTGTTGATAAGTTTGTATATCTGGGTAGTTGTGTGAGTGCTGGCTGAGGGGTGATGGATAAGATTTCCAATCGTATAATGAAGGCTAGGGTGGCATACATCAACTTGAGTCACCTCTGGCGCCGTCGCGACGTTAGCCTGGCTGTCAAAGGTCGGGTATACAATGCTTCGATGCGGGCTGTCTTGCTCTACGCCTGTGAAACCTGGCCTCTCCGAGCTAAGGATGTGAGGTGACTCTGCGTGATCGATCATGGCTGTCTCCGCAGGATTTCTTGCGTTCGATGGCATCATCGCGTGTGTAATTCTTAGGTTCGGCGGCGTGTGTTTGAACACAGTGGAGATCATCATTCAGTGAGTGTCGTCATCTGGAAACACCTGCTTCGGTGGCTTGGACATGTGCTGCGAATGTCATCCCAGAGGCTTCCGTACAGGTCTCTGTTCGCTAGACAGCCCTGGGACGGGATGGAAAAGGCGGAGGGGTGGTCAGTCCATGACGTGACGTCGTGGGATGAAGGATATTTGTGCTAGATTAGCAACGGTTGGTGTGTCACGACTCCCTGGTTGGGGTCCGCGAGATAGCTCGAATCGATGGCTCGAAACGTTATCGGATATGGCCAAGAATCGCAATCATCAATGGCGAACGTGTTGCAATTTCCTTCTTTCTTCCCTTCCTGATGATAGTTAACGAATACTGTTTGAACTTGTTAAACATGACTGTTTTCCTTCCAGATGAAGTTCTTTATCTGTTTTCTACTTATATTTTTACTTTTAATCTATGTTGTTTTATTGTTATTGTGTGGCGCATCTTTCTTGGTGCCATATTGTACCAAGTTTTTTCTGCATTTAAATAAAATAAAATAAATAAATAATAGAACTCCACCGGGAAAAAGTTAGAGTGAGAAAGGGTAAATTGTATGCTGATTTCCCAACCCCAAGTAAAGAGAGAGTCTTGGGCATAAGACTGGTGACGCTACATTACAAAAGCTAATAAACTGCTGGGGAAACTTAAACGCCCAAGAAAGTATATATATATATATATAATTACTCTTTCATGTATTTATATATAATATTATTTTCTTTTATGCATTGAATGGAGAGTATAGATCCTCAAATATTTGGAACCATGAATAATCAAGATAATTCAATTATCTATTTACAAACGAATACCTCCAAGAAATTCTCCTGTAATCTTTATCCTAAAGAAATGGAACAGAAATATCCTGGTTATTGGATTGGTCGTATCCTAAGCAATAAGGATAATATCATTGAAATGAATACAACAGCAAATGAAACAGTTGTATTTCAACCACCTAAACCATATAAAACTTATACAAATCGTGGTAAAGCACAAGTGGAATGTATTTATAAACTATATAAAAATAATAAAGTGCTAGTTAGATTTATAAACACTATCATTGTATATAGTGAGTTCATATTTTAACCCCTGTTTTTTATTGATTAATGATAATTATATTTCAATGATTGTTTATGCTCACATACAGAATGATAAATCTGATGATATTAGATGACGATTAGAGGCAATCGACAGGAAGTCCTAACTGACCTAGGATTCTTGCTAGTCGGCACTCAGTAGTCATCAAGGCGTGTCTGCAACCGCCTTAAAGGAACTCACTTTCCTTCTCAGATTTGAACCCGCGTCACCCAGTGCCACCTGCTGTCAGAGACGTTACCACTGAGCTATTCGGGCTCGTGATTGACCTCCTGTAGCACTGTAGAGTGGATACTTTGATTCGACACTAGCTAGTAACTAGTGATGTGTCTGGTCCTCCTATGTGTTTGGTGCAGACTGAATTCTATCAGTCAGGTTATGTGGCCACCATTCTTGGTAGCTCACCATCATGGTGCACATTGATAGAATTGTAACAACAGAAGACAAGGGCCAGGCAACAGAACGTTTATTACGGAAAATCAACACGTATTTATAGATTTTGATGTACATTATTGTAGGTTAATGTTAGTAGAAAATACAGTCTGTTGATTGGTTGTTTCTCACACAAAGTTAACCTTGCATCTCTTGTGGCTGTGTCAGTTCATCTATATGTTAACTGTATCCGCCTGTCCATCTTGACCTTGACCTCAATTACTGCCAACCAATTTGGTTAGTAGACAGCTCTCACCACAGAATGACTGATAAAATTCAGTCTACACCACAGAAAGGACTAGAAACATCACACTAATTGCTGGTGTTCAATCAAAGTACAATATTCTTTTCGATAAGCTGCTCTTCATCAAGTTCTACAGTTATATATATATATATATATATATATATAGTAGTGAATGAATTAGTGATAATAACAACATTTAAGTTGTTTAAGTAACAGCGAATCAATACTATGAATAGATTACAGTTAAATAGCATCAACATAGCAGTAATGAGGAAAGATAATAATACAAATGTATGGATTTCTCGCCTCTATTGAAGGCCAGGGCAATAGTAGTGGCTGGTTGGACTTGCTTCTTTTGTACACAGAGTGATGGTTGCTTCACGTGAATTTTGATAGACTCTGCTGTTAGAAGTATGAGGTGCTTCGATGTTTTTGGCAATTTATTTGGCACCCGGTAGATGATAGAGAAGGATTCTTCAATGCTAGCTGGCTTTGTGGCTGGTCGCTTTGGACCAGATGGTCTAATATTGAACTGTTGATGGTTTTTACTGCGCCTTTACTTAGCCATACTGGGGATGTTTCCTAGCACGAAAAATCAAGTTCCTAGAGCAACGGCCAATATAACTCACTCCACTACAAGTGCAGTTGAATTGGCAGATACAATTAGAAATGGCTAGCTTGTCTAGGTACTTCATCTTTCAGTCGAGGAATCACCATTGGTCGTGTAGAGAATAAGACGTGTAGTTCGCTAGCGCTAATATTTTTTGCAATGATTTTCTTAATTTCTTAATAATTATTTCACTTGGTATATCGTCCTTGAATTGCAGTCGTATGTATAAAGGCTTCTTGTTTACGGATAGTGAGTAGTCCTTTTCGGACTTTCTTTGTCATGTGTTTCTCGATAAATTTGTCTGCATAGCTATTTTCAATCAATCAAGGTAGCATATAAAATGCTTAATTCATCTTCAGTTACTTCTTCTAAGCATATAGCTCTGACTCTGTAGCTGAGGGTCTTCACTAAATTCCTTTAGTACTGGGGAGGAAAGAAGCTGTGAAAATGTGTATATTGTCCTGTCTGTGTCCTTTTCCTATGCAAATGTCTCGTTATGCTAACTAACATCTGGTTTTCTTGTGAGAAGGGAATCTAAGAAGGCAATTCTATTTCGGGATTCCTCTTTGCACGTGAATTTCATAGGAAAGTGAACATCACTGAATTGAGTTATTATTGCATTCCTATCCGAATCATTATCACAAGGAATAAAGGTGTCATCCATATATCGGCAATGAAAACAGAATTTTCTGATAAGGTTGTTTAGAGGTCCATTTTCTAGTTTTTTGCTTAGAAAGAAATCAGCCAAAATGGGACCCAATGGGAAGCCTATCACCACCCCGTCCACTTGTATGTAAAGTGTATCGTCAAATTTGAAATTTACATTTATGGTACACCTCAATAGTAATTCTTTTAGGATTTCCATTGGGATGCCAATATTGATCGACTGGTTATTACATTTTTTATTGATTAATAAAAATTATATTACAGTGATTGTTTATGTACACATAGACAATGAAACGTTTTTGATTTTATGATAATAACTCGAGTGAAACTGGACTCAAAGTACACAGTATGTTGCTAAATTATTCATAAGATGTAGAGTGATAAGTGAACCGGTATATGGATACATTTATTCTAATAAAAACAAAGAATTCAGTGAAGAAAATTCTCTTTTCGACAATTTCATTTTCAAAGCTGTACAGTCGGAAATGCTCTGTCTGTATTAACATGTCAGTTACTAGTCCTGACACTTCAGCACGTGATATCGTTTGGTAAATTATGGCTAACAGTGGAATTCAGTATTTATATTTTGTCATAAATGGGATTCGTGATTTGGATGTACCTATATCCCCATTGAGTGATCATTTTTTAGTCAACTGAATATTCTCAAAATTTATTCAGAACAGCAAAATAGTTAGAGCGAACGATTGTGGTTTCAATAAATTCTTCTTCTTCAGGCTGTAGAGTTATCGACCCATACTCATTTGTTTCATAATTATTTCCCATTTTTTCTCATTTTGTGCATTATGTAATCCATTTTTTGTTTTGATCAATTATCACCCCTTTGACATTCTGGTATTATTGCTTTCCAACTAATTTAAGTTTTCTGACATTAGGACCGATCAGGTAATTCGGATCTTTATCTGCGCTGGCTACCAATTCACTCCACCCACGCACACATAAATAGACAAATTAGTGTACTTTTTAACCAATCAGAAAAATTATTTCATCATGAGGTATATAAGAATAAAATTGTTCGAGCGAATAATTGTGGTTTCAATAAATTCTTCTTCAGGCTCTACAATTTTTAATCCATTAATTTAAGCATACAATAGCCAGTCAGTAAGGGCGAATTAGAATCATATGAGAAAGTGTATTGTGGAACAATTACAAGATGGGAGGGAACAGTAGTCAGTTAGTTATTTAATATGCATGGTCAGTGTGAACATGAGATGAAATAATTTAATGATGTATATATATATATATATATAAATATTTACAGGAAATAGGTCAGTAAGTTCCAGAACTACTTCCGTTCAAACGTCAAATTAATTGAAGTAGAAAGTGTAATACACACGGAAACCGGATAAAAAAACATCGTAAACTATTTAGATGGTAGTCGACCATTACTATTCAATAACCTGAAGGACAAAATCCCGCTGTTGACCAACTCCATGTGTGTTTATCAATTCACCTGCCCGTGTGGAGCTAGGTATATCGGTCGTTCCACTCGAGTTTTGTGCAAGAGGGTGCAAGAACACTATCTTGCATGGTTACGAAGAGGTGGAAGTGGAGCAATAAGAAGCGCGATCATTGAACATGCGGTCGATATTGATCACCCTATCTCTATAGCCTCCGCCTTCAAAGTTATCTACAAGGCAAAGAGTAATCTACCCAAATCCCTACGTACCCGACTCATCTGTATTGCTGAAGCTTTGGCTATCGAAACAGAAAAGCCAGATCTCTGTGTACAGAAGAAGTTCGTTCAACCCCTCCAACTTTCATGGTCTTAATCCCTCTATGCTAAAGTTTGGTAATCCTCAATCATATTTTAGCTCTATCAATTTTTCATTTTTGTTTATTCAGTTTGTATACTCTTCCTTATTAAGTCAATTGTTACTTTAACTACTCTCACTTTTAATTATCCTCGGTATTATTTCACTTGTTCCACTTGTCATTCTAAATTAATTCTTTTTTACAACGTTAAATTCTATGCTATCAAATTTCTAGGTAAATTACTAGGAACGCGGTAGATAACTGAGAACGCCTGATCAAGTTTTATCGGGTGTCCAGTATCTACCAAGTGGGCTAAGACTGCACTATTTACGCATTTGGTTTCTGCTTTACTCAACCATATAGGTACATGTTCATGCGCGCGCATGGATAAAGCCCTCTGAGTACGGCCAATGTAACTAGCTCCACATGAGTAGTTGAATTCATAGATACACCTTGATGAGGCCATCTTTGGTAATTTCTCCTTGACTTGCTGTATGAGTACTGGTTTAGTTGAGAAGTTGAGTACCAGTTTGGCTGCAGGAAATGTTCTCTCTCGACTGCTCTATTAAGTCGACATTTTAGAATGTCAGCTGCAATTTCCCCTTTGTAACTTAACTTAAGATACAAAGATAATTTTTTCACTGAGACTAACATCCAGTACCCATCACTTAAAATGTATGTAATAGAAAACCTAAAAACCAGGATTACAGATTGATATCATTATTCAGAACTATTGAAAACCTGCATTCGAGTACTGGACAGTTGCTTCATCAGTCTAGTTTATAATTCATCGGTATTACGCACCCATCAGGTGCTTACTAGTGATTTGCTAATGGACAAACTTGCCTTGCTAAAATCATGCACTGGTAGAAGTTTGAATTCATGGGCTGGCGGCCATTGAAAAGTCAAGCCTCAGTGGCTAAATGGTCCACGAGCTTGCCTTGTAACCTGGAGATCGTGAGTTCGAACCCCGACAGTGGGATCGGTGTGTACTGGCGATGATTCTCATACTAGGCTAATGAGACAGCTAGCTATTCAGGGCTGGTTTTCAATATTAGTTCTGTAACTTATTCCAATCCGTGATCAAACTAGCAACTCAAATCGAATCCCTACAAACACACTCATAAAAATGTCAACTAATTAATGATTTGTTTACACGAGTTGATCACGGATTGATACCAGTTAGAGAACCATTGAAAACCAGAACTGGGGTACTCGACAGCTGTTTCATCTTAGTTTGAGAATCATCGCCTGTACACACCCACCCACCTGTCGTGGTTCTAACCCAGGACCTTCCGGTTACAAGGCAAGCTATCTCGTATACCATTCACCCACTGGGACCCGATTGTTCAATGGCCAGCCCATGAATTCTAACTTCTACCAATTCGTGGTTTTAGCGCGACCACCAACCAATGTTATCGGTGGGACATCCATCCTCACACTTGACGTCTGGATGGACCTCACTGATCACGAATGACCAATTATTTTAAATGAACATTACCCACTGTTTTACCTTAAACTTCCATATTTGTTTGTTTATTAGATATATCACACAGTGAAACAGTATTATTTACTGGATGACACAGTTTCGAACAAAATTTATTGTTCATAATCATATCAGTTGTGATCACACGACTTTGAAACTCGAGTTTTATAGTTTTCTTTGCTTTCTCCTATTTGTCGTCGTAGGGGTAGTAGAATTTTCCAGATATCTGGGACAGGTGGTGAGTCATTCCTATTACATGTATTTGCAGTTGATTCGATAAACAAAGCTTCCGTTATCAATCTCTCCCTATACCCTGTGACATTAGATTTTAAAACTGTCATCCTATCCCACCGTATAGTATGGTTGTGTGTAACTGCATGCAGTGAGTGCTATAGCTGAACTATTCTCTCTATGTTCAGTCAGACTAGATGAACATAAAAACTTAGAAAAATCTAGATTGGTTGACTCGAATAAGATAAGAAATGTAGAGCATAGTTCAGCTATAGCACTCACTACATGCAATTACAACCATAAACTAGGATGGGATATGATGACAGTTTTAATGTCTACTGTCACAGGGTGGAGGGAGAGATTGATAACAGAAGCTTTGTTTATCGAATCAACTGAAGAGAGTACATGTATTAGGAATGATTTAACACCAATCCGGTCGGAGATCTGGAAAATTCTACTACCCCTACAACAAATAGGAGAGAATAAAGAAAACTATGTAACTCAAGTTTCGAAGTCGTGTGATTACAGTTGATATGATTATGAACAAAAAAATTTTGTTCGAAACGTCATCCAGTAAATAATACTGTTTCACTGTGTGATATATCTAATAAACAAACTAATATGGAATTACTTACTACCACAGTGCCCAAGTTTTACACATATATTAATATTGTGGTGAGAGCTGTCTACTAGCCAAATTGGTAGATAGTAATTTACGTCAATGTTTACGTTCTCAAGATTTGTCGTGAGAAAATATGAACAAAGACTGATTCAAAAACCGACCACAGCAGACTTTGCGTAGGCGGATACAGTTAACATATAGATGATCTGACATTCAAGAAACAGTCACAAATAGATGGATGATTAACTTTACGTGAGAAACAACCAATCGGAAGACTGTGTTTGTTTGCTTAAATATCCATAGTAATGTACATGAAAATATATAAATATGCTTTGATTTCCTTAATAAACGATCTGTTGCCTGACAGTGTCTTCTGTTGTTACAATATTACCTAATACTTCATCTTAAATTTACATTTTTCTGTAATCCCTCGCCTAATATTCCTCTTATATAATCTCATCACTTGCTTTATTCCACTTATTTATTCCATTTATTCCTTTTATTTTTCCCTAGCTAATCAAGTAAGCTATTATCTTGATATCCATTCTGACTATATCTATCGTATACATATCGGTAGTAATCGAAGAGTTTGTTGTACAAGCTATGAAAAGACTGAACAAAGTCCGTATACATGGAAGATAAGTGTTCCGAATAACGTAGAAGGAAAATTAGTTTCATACAATGGTACCAATTGTATTCAACCACGAAAAGGCGATCTCATCTATCTAACACCAGGTACATTTAATGTCACATGTGATTTGAAAACAAAATCAGGAGGATCAACAGGCATTTCAAAAACAAAAACAGTACATCTTGTTGGTAAGTCAGCTTTTCTTTTCCTTTTCTTTTCTTTTTTTAATTATTATTATTATATTTTTTATTCCTTTACTTTCCCGACGATGGAAAATAAGGCTTCAACCTAGAGCTTTGAAAATTTCCATAGCAGTAGTGAGAAGGATGTTGAAGGTAGTTAGTAGGACTAGTGGTGTAAAACTCAGTCAGCTCATCACTACATTAGTTGATAGGTATCTGAATGCATGCGAAAAATGGTCCAAAATCATACTCTCCTAGCCCCAACACCCCCTCTATTCCCAACTCGCACCTTATATCTCATCAAGTAGAACCAGAAATCAGTATAAGATAATCTATGCTCGTACAACCAAGTACAGGAACTCAACGATACCATACTTGGCCAGTGTTCCAAGTGACAGAGACAATGTTAAACGTGAAACCTATGACTTGCTTTGTTGTTAATAACATAATTTTAGGCTCTTTTATTTCTCTCTTATTTTGTATTCTTTAGTGAACTCTTTCTTAAACTTACTTAGCTACCTAAATTATTAACATTGACTTACTTTTTATACTTTACTGTATTCCTTCTTTTGTGTATCTACTCGTTCCGACTATATTAGCACTATGAGTAGTACAAAATTTTCCTGTCATTAACCATCATGTAATTATTAGTTTTGTCGTTGTTTTTTCTTATTTTTTATTTTTTTTCGGCAATATTAACTGACAATCATTGGTTGTGAACGCCATTGTCACCATCTTAAAATTTTGTATTATGTAGGACTACTCACACTACTATTTATTTATTTTTTTTTTATTTTTGATTACTGCTTGATTCCACACAGTACTTTTGGTAGAAGTATGGAATTTTCAGCATGGATATCGGTAGCCCAAATTTCGACCATAGATATCGGGTGTGCGTCGGCAGGGGATCGAACTCCGGACCATGTGCATGGTCGGCGAGAGTCCTAACCACTGTGCCACCGACACTACTACAAACACTGCATTAGACTTGACAATAAAAAACAAAACAACCCTGAAATGTTATTTTATGATTGTTTAGTGTTGTTTCAACCTAAATTAACTGATCTTCTTGGCGATAAACATTCTTAAATATCATTTCATAAATTCTTGTGTGACCATAGCTTTACTGTCACCATGCATAAACATATCATGGCTTCCACTACCCAATAATGAGATATTATTTTATGTTGTTTATTCTCGTTTCTACTTCTTGGTATTTTTTTTTTCGCATTAAAAAAACTTATTTTTGTGTTTACTATTTTTGAAATACTCCTTTTAAACGTTGGATAAAATTAGATGCAAATATTGTAGATATGTGCTGAAAATTCCACACTGTACCACTAGTAATGTTTCTGGAATAAAGCAAATTATTATTATTATTTTCACGGTGTGGAGTTGCTTGCCTCACGTTCAGTCTTCGCTCTCCTTACCGGTCTTACTGCGGACTTAGTAAGGTTTAGGAGTGCGTCTGTTGGTCGGCGATCTAACTCTGGACAAATTGAGTGGTTGGCCAGTGTTCTACCACTGAATCACCGTGTAGTGAGAGCTGTCTGTTAGCGAAAATTGTAGACAACAATTTACGTCAGTGTTTACATCCCGAATCAGGGTCATGAGGAAAAACACAACGATAAAGCTTAACCTTGAGGAACTCACTAGCCAATCACAGCAGACTTGACGTGTACAAGTACGATTCGTGGATATATGGCCTGTCTTTCTAAGAAACGGCTATAAAGAGATGACAGAATAACTATCAGCAAGAAAACAACCAGTCAGAAGACACTGCTTCTCTGCTAACAATAACGAATAATAATGTACACAAAAATCTTTAAATATCTCTTGATTTTCTCAATAAACTATCTTTTGCCTGACCCTTGTCTTCTGTCGTTACAACCGGCGTATATAATAGTGGTATGAATACTTCAGAAAAACTGATAAATGCTCAGGAAAGTGTTCGAATCTCCTCCCCTTTCTTATTAATTTCATGAAACTGAGTAGTGACGTTAATAGATACATGGACTGAAAGAGAAATCTATGCTTGACTTTTCGATGTCTTAGGGATTGATTTGATATCAAGAAAAAAGACAGTCAGGTAGGAAGGTGTAGACTGGTTGACTGGCAGTATGGTTCGGATACTTGTGATGGTAAGAACAAATTAGGGCGGCTGGAGCCAATTGGTCATATGGCTCAAAATCGTCGTTGTCAGTGGTTGCGCAGATGCATTCACTCTACTGTTCTCCCATATTAATATTCTTTTTGCCTCATCCTTCTGTTTTTGTTTCCTCTCTTTACTCCTTTCTCTTGCTTTGCTAAATGTGCTAAATGGAGAAATTGTGGCAATTGGTGCACTTCTGTACGAAGTTCTGTAAATTGAAATGAGTCAATCATTTAGTATTTTGAATTTTTATAATTGAAATTATCAAACATTGGTGTTATTATTATTATTACTGTTATTCTATTATTCGTTAGCGTTCAAACTGGAACGTAGGACTTCTAGTTTTAGCTGTGAATTTGCACCAATAGCGGTGCTGTTTTCCTTTATTATGGGGTTGGGGTTGTTAGTCTCACGCCCAAACTCCCCTCACCCCCTCTTTCGGGCTTACAAACGACTAAGGGAGGTAAAGATGTGCACACCAGCAGATATCGAACCATATGAGGCGTTGTTGGTGTGAATATTCTACCGATGAACCATAGGCGCAAAAACATTTATATATTTTCTATAGTTTGGTTTGTAAGGATTAGTTCGGTTTTTACGAGTTGATCACGGATTGATATCAGTTAGAGAACCATTGAAAACCAGCACAGGAGTACTGGACAGCTGTTTCATCCTAGTTTGGGAATCATCGGCAGTACACACCCACCCACCCGTCGTGGTTCGAACCCAGGACCTTCCAATTACAAGGCAAGCTAGCTCGTATATCATTCAGCCACTGCGACCCGATTGTTCAATGGTCAGCCAATGAATTCTAACTTCTGCCAATTCATGATTTAGCGCAACCCCAATGATTGAATGGTATGCGAGCTAGCTTGCCTTGTAACCGGAAGGTTGTGGGTTCGAATCCCAGTGGGTGCGTACTGGCGATGATTCCCAAAACTAGGATGAAACAGCTGTCCAGCACCCCCCAGCTGGTTTTCAATGGTTCTCTAACTGATATCAATCCGTTATCAACTCGTAAAAACATTTATATATACTTATAAATACAGATTTTCTCATCTCCTTGAATATTTATAGTTTTTAATGTATATTTTTGTTGTTTTTTAAAAAAAAACTTTATTTGCCTTCAAACTCTTTACAAAAAAAAACAAAACAATGAAAATAACGAACAAAACAAACAAAAAGATTTAGGCAGAATAGGTACAATTAACGGACATAATGGTGATAATGGATATGCAATACTCGGTACTTCAAAAATATTTCAATGTGGTATAATACCAAAAAGTGTAGAATCAAAATTAAATGGTTACTGGAAAGCTGTAATACTTGATCAATATAATCAACCATTTTCATTGAATTTAAGTCAAGGCAAAGTTATTATTGGACCATATAATGGGAAAATTTATGAAAAAATTGGTTATATTCAAATCCAATGTCAATATACCTATAAATATTATGAAGTTGAATTTGCTTTTGATAAATATATATATGTTACATGTAAGCTATGTTGATATGTTTATGTGTTTAATACTGTTTATATATATAGATGTATTATTACTTCATGTTCTCAGTGGAACATAGGGCTTCAAGCTAAGGGCTTGAAGTTTCTGTAGCAGTGTTTATTCTTACAGGATGGGGTTGCTAGCCTCATGGCCAACCTTTCCTATTTACCAGCTTCTATTTCTGGCTTAGCGAGGTTTGGGAGTGCGTCGGCCGGAAATCGAACCCCGGACCATGTGCATGGTCGGCGAGCGTCCTAACAGCTGTGCCACCAACGCATATATATATATATATACATATATTAAATCCCCTTAAAAGGCACTCAAAATCTAGACTAACAAATTCTTATGAAGACAAATTTCGCAAGATGATATCATTTCGTAGTTTCTTTACAACCACTTCACAACTAACATGGTTAACAATAAGAAAATAAAGTTCATGACAATTACTCAGGTAATTAAAAAAACACAAAAGTACATACTGATGACCATTCATATTTAGATAGGTCATGTAGTCCATGGTAAGCGAAGATTGAAGTCTATTGTATTTTTTGTACACACAGTTTAGGCTGTATGTGATTAATCCTCCAAAGTGCTTCCATCACCTTCAATAATCAACCTTGAATTAGAGTTATGTGAAATAATTATGAAACAATCATTAATAATATTGACTTTGTGACCTGACATTAATAAGTGTTTTGCAATGGATGATGCTGGATTTCTATTCAGATTACTGGCATTGGGATTTTCTATGTGATTTAGTAGCCATTTTGGAACATGTTCTTTCCGACGACATCGGAACATTCTGTTGGTTCCACCTATATAGGTACCACCGCAGCTGCAGGCGAACTTGTAGATACAGTTGTTGCGATGGGGAGCCCTCTTGGGCCCCTGTTAGCAGATATATTCATGTCGAAATTTGAAAAACAAATGCAAGGTATGCTTGGAGAATTCATGCTGTATAAACGTTATGTAGATGATACTGTTATTACTGGCAATAGTAGTAAATCTGTTGAAAACTTTATTACCCTATTTAATCGTATTCATTCAAATATCCGAGTGACTTCCTAACTCGAATCGAATAACAAACTCGGTTTCCTCGATATTACAATGACCAGGAGAGATGATGGAACGATTCAGAGATCTATTTTTTGTAAACAGACGTGGAGTGGACAATATCTTCATTTTACCAGTTTTGTTCCTATCCAGTATAAACGTACCCTAGTGAAATGTTCGTTCTCAAGGGCCCGAAAAATATGTACGAGTGACACAGTGATGGATGAGTTTCGACATATACATTCAGTTTTATTAGCTAATGGTTATCCGGAAAACTTTATCACTTGTCACAGTAAAGAAAGACCGCATCTCGAAAAGACAGCTTCGGTACCAAAGAAAGCTATCTTGATTAACCTACCATTCAAGGGTGACCAGATTATGTAGTGGACAGCTAGCTCAAAGGCTTCGGTCAGCCATGAAACGCATATTCTACACTGTATCTCTTTTTCTCACGTGCCGAACATTTTCAATCCCTCTACCTACGATTAAAGGACGAAATTCTGTGGACTGTACTTCAAACTGTATCTACAAGTTCACCTGCAGTTGCGGTGACACCTGTATACGTAGAACCAATAGAATGTTCCAATGTCGTCGGAAAGAACATGTTCCAAAATGGCTACTAAATCACATAGAAAATCCCAATGCCAGTAATCTGAATAGAAATCCAGCATCATCCATTGCAAAACACTTATTAATGTCAGGTCACAAAGTCAATATTATTAATGATTGTTTCATAATTATTTCACATAACTCTAATTCAAGGTTGATTATTGAAGGTGATGGAAGCACTTTGGAGGATTAATCACATACAGCCTAAACTGTGTGTACAAAAAATACAATAGACTTCAATCTTCGCCTACCATGGACAACATGACCTATTTAAATATGAATGGTCATCAGTATGTACTTTTGTGTTTTTTTAATTACCTGAGTAATTGTCATGAACTTTATTTTCTTATTGTTAACCATGTTAGTTGTGAAGTGGTTGTAAAGAAACTACGAAATGATATCATCTCGCGAAAGTTGTCTTCTTAATGCCTTATTCAAATTTATTAAAGGGACTAATTGTTTTAATTTAAATTAATATGAACTAAAACATAGATTAGATAATTAAAAATTAGATAATGAAGAAAAAATGGTTAGTATTGACATTGTCATTTTATCTACGCAAATATACCAATAAATATGGATATAGAGACATTCAGAAACGAACTCATTTCTGACCAAGAACTGGAACTTAGGATGAAAGTACCATGAATATCAGTAAAAAGTTTGAGCATTGTGGATTCGATCAAATATAAAGTATAATTATATTTCAATAGTTTACACACAATGACAAGTTTTGTTATTGGTAATATTTCGAGCAAAATTACTGCGCGTGTTCACACCACTGTTGGAATTGTTTTATTCACACATTTATGATTTGTATTCATATATATATATATATATATATATGATGGAGGCAATTCAATTCACTTATGAATTGGAAAGTCAGGAATGGGAGCTTCCCATGTTAGGTTGCAGAGTAAAAAGGAAAGAAGATGGGAAGTTAAACACTCGTGTTTACAGGAAACTCACACATTCAAACAGATATTTGGACTTTCGATCATCCCATCCTATATCAGTGAAAATAGGATTTTTGAAATGTTTAAGTGACAGAGCACAAAAACTAAGTAGTACCAAGGAAAATGTAAGACAGGAAGTGAGGCATATAAGAGAAGCTTTGAAACTTAATAATTACCCTGATAAATTGGTCAGAAAGTTTGTAGGGAGATGTAAAAATAAAGTAAATAATGATCGTAATAATAATAATAGCAACAGTAATATTATTGAAGACATGCATATCAAACATGCTCAATATAATGACAACACCAACAATAAAGAATCTAAATCATCAGTAGTAATTCCATACAAGGAGGGCACCTCGGAAACCTTACGCAGAATTCTTAAGAAGGCAGGACTAAAAGTGGCTGGCATTCAAACTGCCCACAAACTCAATTAGAAACAAGCTTTGTCGGTTAAAGGATCTATACTGTGGAAACAATGAAAGAAAACAATTTAGTTTATCTAATACCCTGCTGGAATTACTGTGTGTCAGGTCAAATACATAGGTCAAAGTAGTAGAAAAGGTGCAGTCAGACTAGCTGAGCATAAAAACCTAGCAGCGAAATCTAGATTAGTTGACCCGAATAAGATAAGAAATCTAGAAAATAGTTCAACTATAGCACTTATTGCACGCAATTACTTACACACAACCATTCAATAGGAGGATGGGATGAGATAAGATGACAGTTTTAAAATCTAATGTAATAGTAGGGTGGAGGGAGAGGTTGATAACGGAAGCTTTGTTTATCGAATCAACTGAAAAGAGTACGTGTAATAGGAATGATTCAACACCTGTCCCAAATATGTGGAAAATTTTACCACTTATATGAGGACAAATAGGGGAGAACAAAGAAAACTATAAAACTCAAGTTTCAAAGTCATGTGATTATCATTGCTATGATTATGAACAATAACGAATTGTTTTCTCTTCTTTTGCGATTTGTTAACTTGTTTATCTTACCTATAACACTTTACTGCTTCCCCCTCCCCGCCTAAGTCTTTCCTGGGCAACTAAAATAGGACTGTGTCATTTTGAGAAGGGTATTAAAGGTTGTCATCAGTAGGGCATGTGGTGTTCAACTTAGTCAGTTTGTCATTGCATTATCTGATAGACATCTAAAATCATGCGAGAAATGGTCTAAATCTCTATTGTCTGACCCTCTACACCCAGCGCCTCTATTCTCAACTCTCCCCTCGTTGTATCTCATCTGATAGAAATAGAAGTCAGTACAAAAGATTATATGCTCGTACTGCCGAGTATAGGAGACCAACGATATTTGTTCAGCCTGTGTTCTATGCGATAGAGACAATGTGAAGCGTGAAACTAATGAATTACTATAATAAAGGTTTTTCTTTGTATTTCCCAATGAATGAAAAACAAAACAATATTGTTGTTTTTACTGACGTTTCATCATTTAATGCTAATAGCTGTTTTATCAGAGTATTATTATACCAGAATTTACAAAATCCGCTCAATTATATCATCGTTCATCAGCAAAGTGGCATTTTTGCATTTTCTAATTGACCAATCGGTAAGGGTAACAAAACGACGTGTAGATTGTTGGATTTGATAAGTGTGTAAAATTATAAAAGCAGTGTCTGTGTTTAGATAATGAAATGGCTTATCACATTCATGTTGATTTTGTCATTTCCTGGTCGACCGTGGTGTTGTAATGAGGTCAAATTCTGTTTTAGTCCATCATTCCTATTCAGTTCAGACAATTTGGATTCCACTTGATATGAAGTGCTTCTGATGGTGTGAGATGTTCTTTGTGATTTCTGAAATTTTTCTGGATTGTTTCAATATTGTTAAAATCAATTTTGTGACCTGGTTCTATAGCGTGTAGACAAGTTATGGCTGATGATTTTTCAAGCTTTTGTAGTTCAGCTGGATTTCTCGGTGGTCGAAGAGATGCTCTACCCTGTTCATTTCTTCTGATTACCTTGATTTCTCTGTGGTGAGGTTTGTCCGATGTATATCGCATCACATTCCAAGGATTTTATTTTATAGACACAGTTAGATAAAGAATCCTTAGGAATTTGGTCTTATATATGGATAAGGTTGCTTGGCAGTTTGTCTGATGTTTTGAACAAAACTCTGATGTCGAACTTAATGAGTACTCTTCTGATATCATCTGACGTCGCTGTTCTATATGGAATGACAACTGTTGAGGTTCATGTTTTCAGAAAACGTTTTCGACCATACTTAATGTCAGTGTTGATTTTGCTGATGAGGTTCTTTGGGTAGTTGTTTTGCTTGAGAGTCTCAGTAATGTTTGATATTTCTTCTTCTCCTTTTTCTTATTTCTCATCCGTCATCATCAAAGTGTGCTCGTCTACGAAGACTTGAAACAACTGATACCTTTGCGCTGATGGGGTATAATGATTTAAAGTGAAATATTTGTTGGAGTGAGTTTTCTTCCTGAATATAGAAATACTAAAATGTCCGTTTTCTCTCCACTTAACTAGACAGTCTAGAAATGGTAGTTCACCGACATTTGATTCTGTTTCTGAAGTAAACTGGACTCTGCGGGGTAGACTGTTTATTTTCTCCAAGAATGAACTGTGTAGATCTCGTTTTAGCACTACCAAATTATCATCTACACATCTTAACCACATTTTAGGATTGAGTATGCTCCAAAAGATGTTATCCTCGAATCTATTCATGAATTACCATATTAGTAACAAGATAGTGGGATCTTTTATTATCTCCTATTTATAATCTGTGGTGACAGTATCTGAATTAACTGACAATCTTAGCTACAAACATTATTATTATTACTATTTACACTTTTGTTTTGTATACATATATATGACTTCACTGTCACTACAAATACCAAATAAGAACTGCCATTATAATTATCCTGTAATATTATCTTTATCATTGTTTTTTCTAATGTTATCCGATAAAATTAGATGCAGTATCATTAGTACTGTTTTGGAATAAGCCAAATTACTATTATTATTATTGATTGGTGTAATATTATTATCATTATCCCCTTGGGTCCCTAGTGGAACATAGGGCTTCAACTGCACGCCTCCACTTGTTTCTGTCTTTTGCTGTACTTTTCACTTGCATCCATGTTAGTCCATACTGTTTCAACTCCTCTTCACACGATATCCTCCATGTCACACTTGGACGTCCCACTCGCCGCTTCCTTTTGGGTTCCACTCGAGGGCTTGACGCGCGATTTCACCCAACGGCCTCCTCAGTGAGTGTACAATCCATCTCCACTTTCTCCTGCATATTTGTTGAGCGATTGGTTCTTGTTTTGTTTGTTCCCATAGTTTCTTGTTGGTGGTTCTTTCCGGTCATCTGATCTTCAGTATAGAACGAAGACAGTTGTTGATAAATGTCTGCAACCTGTTGGAAATATTCTTTGTGACCCGCCGAGTTTCTGATCCGTATAGAAGAACTGACTGACTTGACGTCTGTATTGAAAATCCGAATTTCGTTGTTGATGCAGGCTGAGTGACGAAGATTTCCAGATTGGTTTCAGGTTGATGAATGTGTTTCTCGGTGTAATATGTTTAGTCCTTTTATTTGGTTCAGATTGAATTCTATCAGTAGTTGAGTTCTCAATGTGACCACTATGCCATTTGGTGGCTTGACATCACGGTGCCTTCTGAATTGTTGATATGTTAGGTGGTTGTGCAGGCAATTGCCACGAAGCCCATCCTTGGACCTAGGTTTCTTGCTGGTTAGCACTCACCAGTAGTCACCTAGGCAGGTGTATCTGCAAGCTAGAAGGAACTCGTGTCTTGTTTTCTGGGATTCACACCTGTGTCATCCAGTGCTGCAGGTAGTCAGATACGTTACCACTAATGAGCTATTTGGACTCGTAACTGACCACCTGTAGGACTGTATGGGATACTTTGATTGGACACCAGTTATTAACTAGTATCATGCACCTAGTATTTTATTTGGTACAGACTCAGTTCTATCAGTCAAATCGGACTAAAATTTAGTAGTATCAAGGCGGGAAGTCTTCATTATTGTGGATTTAAACAATCTAGGCAGGTAGTACACTTTCCTGCAAAGCTTTACACTGATAATACACATTCCACCTCAGATTTAGTTAATACACAAATAATCATTTGCGATAATCAACAATACTAATATTATTATTGAAGTTCATTTCTTTCACAAAGTGATATTGATAACGTCGCAGTGGTTGGTGCATTGTACTAAAAAGTTTTAAAGTAGGATTAATCGGCTGTTGGGTACTTCATGCTTTTCATCGGGAATACCATTCATACATAACTCGGTGGGAATTCCACTGCTAGTCACTATCCACCAAGTAGAGGTTAGGACACATAGGCTGGCAGGCAGTGAGGAGTCGGGATCCAGTGGCTGTATTGATTTGAACCCAGTCAGTGAAGAAAGTTCGTACTGGCAATGACTCTCAAAGTGGGCTGACTCAACAGTTAGCTGTCCGGTACTCGAGTGCTGGTTTTCAGTGGTGGTTCTCTAACTGATATCTATCCAAGATCGAGCTCATAAAAAAAATCAAATTTCCTCAAATAAACTATTGAAAATTTTAAAAAATTGGTCTAATTTCATAGCTGTTTTAATTATGAACTAGAATAATTAATACAATGATTGGAAACTAGTCAGATAGACAGATGGACAGGTGTATAGCATAATAAATCAACTCACTTCACAGTCCGAAATTGTTAAATTTCATCGGTAGAATGGGATCATCATATCATGTGACCAAAGTCAAAAAATTACTGTGAAAAAAACAAAAACCAAACAAAAAACAACAAGCTAAACACCATTCAGCTTTGGCTAATATCTGGAAAACGGTAAACAATACTTTCTTGAAATATTCATTTGTTTACAATGTGCTACTGACAGGATTTATCAGTAGTATGTAGATGCAGATTGATAGGAAGCAGGCGAAATTGAAAACAACATTTTTAAAGTAAAAGTGTTTATTCCTCAAATCTGGATTTATCTACCTTTGTGGTCAGGAAATACTCTCATTGGTCGACTTCTCGTCTCAAGGTTAAACCTTGAGGCTAATCAACAACCAATCAGAATAGTTTATTATCCTCTGACCACCTAGCTGACTTTAAATGTGGCTAGAAGATGTATCAAAAAGAGTTTGTTTTTCCTTTAAGAAGGCAAGTCCACTGTTACCCAAGTCTGTTGTCTCTTCTTCAATTGAACTGTTCATCTAATAAATGTTGAATATTTTTTTCAAATCTTTTATTTAAAATCAAATAGCTGCATTTCATTGTAACACTAGAAGTAAACAAAATCCAGTGAATCTCACCTATTCTATTGGTTCAGCTAATCAATTTGCATGTTGTTATACACCGAAATCAATAAATTCAGATGGTTATTGTAAACTGTTGCTTAGTGGAAGCAAAAAGAAAGAAGAAGTATATCCTGAAGATGAATTATCTATTGAATACTGTGATGATGATTATATATTTGGACCACCTAATAATAAACACGTTTATACAGATGAAAAACAATGGTCAATTCAATGTTCTTATCTCAAGAAAAACTATAATACAGAATATGATACACTGAAAACACATATGAAAGTAGTAAATGGTAGTTAATATTTTGTCTGTTAATTCTACTTCTTTTTTTTCAAAAAGTTTTATGACAAATCAAATTCACAGTATGTAATCTACATACAGTTCGAGTGGTGAAAATTCTCACCGTAATTTCCCTTAGAAAGCGAGTTATTCAGATTACCATGATGTGTGTGATCTGGTAAACAAGAAAGCAAGAAATTTTGCATAAAAATATATACTACTGATTAAGTGGAATGAGTAGTTGTATACCACTTTAGGCATCACTAACTACCACCAATCAGCGAATGACCTAGAACTCACCAATCACATGAAGGAGGCATTTTCAGTTATGGAATATATGTATATTTTTAAAAGTGCACAAAAATCGTATACAAGTGTTATATGGGATACTTTTGTTTTCACATGTGATAAAAACATCTCCCGGTTTAGCACAGGAGTATCAATGGAAAAGTTATACCACATCCTATACAAATATTCATCTATTTAAAGCAATTCAGTTCCCTTTATGAATTTCGACAAGGCAATAAGAAGACGTAGTTTATCTGAAACGTGTAATGTATTTGCGCAACACATTTCGGATATTCTGATCACACACGTACTTGTCATTCACAGTTTTTATAAGAGGCAGGAAGGCATGAGTCATTCCATTCAGGTGAGATTGTGTACAGCTCAAGGTCACAAATAACGAGGAAAGAGATCAGCCAAGCGTGTGGGTAAGAAAGAGAAATAAAGAGGAGGAGGAGTTGAAAATATTATGAAGTTAACTGGTCCTTGATTCTAAATTGGATTACCAAGGCAGGTTTAAGGTGATAACAAATAACTTTTGGACACATAAGACAGAAAGGTTTAAGTCTTTTATGGTCAAGGCTTCAACGAATTTAAGTATGTGACCCAACGCTGTTTTATACATGGGATTAAAGGCATTGTTGAAATCAACCTTATGACCCGTCTCTATAATGTGCTTCACTGTTGATGATGTTGGACATCTATTTCCGGGATCAATTGTGTCTGGTGATTTTATTTGTTGTTGCAGCCATTTTGGAATGTGTTTTGTAGCCTTAACTTGCAGAGACCGATGGGTTCTCCCTTAGTACGTGTCTCCACATATACATGTAAACTGATAAACACAGTGGGATGTGACACTATCGTTCGGATAATGTGAGGGTTTACAGGACAGCATAGTTCTCATTTTCTCTATGAAGATAAGTTTAGCTGCATAATAAGTTCTGTTGGTTGTGGCCTTGAGTCCTTTTCTAGTGACCAGACTTTGTTCAAGCCCGTTCACCGTATATATACTGCCGATACAATTGAAGAAGAAAGACAACATCTCACTAAAATATTGTTAGATAACAATTACCTGCTGGGATTTATCAGGCGTTACGGAAGTGTCAGCCATAGAGCTCTACCAATCCAATCAGCTCCTAAAAAAGATGTTTACATATCCCTGCCGTTCAGAGGTGATCAACAAAGTCTGGTCACTAGACTAATATGGAACTAATATGGAATTACTTACTATTACAGTGCCCAAGTTTTACACATAGATCAGTTCTGTTGTCTGATTCTCCTTCCTCTTCTTCTCTTGCTAATCTGACTAATGTGTGTAGATTATTCATGGACAGTTCCTCAAATAAGCTTACTTCGTATTGAAGTCTGCAGTGAATACGTTATCTTGAAAGAATTATGAAAGCTTCATAATTTAACCACCCAGTTCACTGAAAGCAACTGCATCAAAAGGAATCCATCCGAAGTGCGAATCTTCTCCATTATCCCTCGAAAATATTGTTTATGACTCAAAGAAAAGCAAAATGAATAATCATCTGCTAAGAATTCTAAGTCTTTTACAAACACTGAAAATAAAATTATTTATTTTATTCCTTTACGTTCCCAGTGGAACATAGAGCTTCAAGCTAGAGGTTTGAAGTTTCTGTAGTAGTGGTGGTCATTTTTACAGGATGGGTTTGCTAGCCTCATGCTCAGCCTTCCCTCCTTACTAGTCTTAGCCAGGTAAAGGAGTGCGTACGTGGCCGGGGATTGAACCCCCTGCGTGTTTCGCAAGCACTCTACCGCTCTGCCACCGACGCACCCCGTGGTGTAGTGGTTAGCACCCTGGACTCTGAATTCAGCGAAATATGAAGGTAGTGCAGCAATTTAAAGACTACGGAATATTTTCTTCTCAACGACTGATTTTTATAGGCTGTACAATCGTAATTATATTTAACAAAGAATTCATAAAACCAATCAGATACTGGTAAAATATGTCCTCGTAAGTTGTACTCTAGATGGGGTGACTAATAGGAAATTAGAAAAGGGGGCAGAAGTCAGCATGACGTAATAATTGTGAGAAAATTATATAAGAAATAATAATAAGAAAAAATAAAATTATATAAGGACCCAGTTGACCCAGTTAGACAAAATAATATAATTTACAGTATACCCTGCAATGACTGTGAGTTAGGTCAACTACATAGATCAGACTAGTAGGTCAGGGGTAGTCAGATTGTCAGAAGATAAAAATTAAGCTAAGGTAAGAATGGTTGACCCCGAGAAGGTAAGTAATTTAGAAACGAACTCAGCAATTGCACTGCATGCATTAGCACACAACCACACAATAGGTTGGTGGGAGAGGGTTAAAATTCTAAAAAGTAATCTAGGTAGGTGGAGAGAGAGGTTGATTACTGAATCCTTGTTCATCGAATCTACACCCAACACATGCAATAGGAATGATTCATCACTCATACCCGAAATATGGAAAATATTACTACCAATCAAATCAAGTGAAAATCAAGTGAAAAACAATGGAACTATATAAATGAATTTAGGAAGTCGTGTGATTACCTTGGTATGATTATGAGCAATAAATTGTGCTCGAAACGTCATCAGTAAATATTACTGTATAACACTGTGAGACTTTATCAGAACAAAATTTACCCATAATGTGAGAAAATGACTAATCAATATGAATGTGCATAGTGGACAGGGATTTGTGGAAAGACGATAAAATGTTTTTATGTAAAATCTGTATGAAAACGCAGTGTTATTAATAAACAATAGTAGAGTGATAATAAAATATGGATGATGAGAATAATAATGATAATAAAATAATAATAACATTAATAATAGTAAAATTAAGTAATAAAAGAGAAGCAAATTATTAGTAAGAACGTTACTCTAACCACGGTTAGGTGGCGAGTGAATGTATGTAATGCTTGTGAATGCAGAGGTCCAGTTTCAGATCTCGGATAGCCAATGATTTTTACACTGATTAGTCTAATGAATTCTTTGTTAAATATAATTACGATTGTACAGCAACTTATGAAAATGAATTGTCGAAAGGAAAATTTTCTTCACTGTTTACGTCTTTTCTTACAACTCAGTATGCGAATATTTCCTTCAATATGAAATATTTAGCAGAAACTTCAAGACAAGTAGCTATCTGTAAAAGGCTAAAAGGATAAACGATGCCTAAAGATGGTTCCAAAAATCTCTACAGATTTCAAGAAGATAGAAAACAAATCAGCGATGTCACTATACTCTATGAAGACAAGATACAAGATCGACTTTGGTAGGAATAATAGGTTCTACAGAAAAGTCCTAGTTCGTTTAGAGAAAGACTGAATGCAGAAGCCTTACATATACGGGTGAATGCCAAAAGCTTGAATAAGCATGACGGTATGATGTTAGTTGATGCATAAGAAGTTCTGATTAATAAATAAAAGTGGATATTATTTGGTAGAGAAAGATCAGATTTGAAGTATGAAATGATATCATTTGATTTCACAGGTTCTCATCAGCTGCAAACTACTTGAAATTACAATGGTTATAAATAATGACATTTCATACTTCAATGGATATATATATATATTGTTTGCAGGATTTCGTCATGAGCTGACACTCGTTAGAGAACCATTTGAAAACCAGCACTCGAGTACTGGACAGCTAGTTGTTTCACCAGCCTAGTTTGAGACTCTTCAACACAGTGCACTCACCCTGCTGCCGGGGTTCTCACCTAGGACCTTGTGATTACAAGCCGAGCTAGCTCGCAGACCCTTCAGCCCCTGGGACCCGCCAATCCAATGGCCAGTCCATGAATTCCGACTTCTTCCAACTCATGATATAGCGTGACCACTAAGCAGTGTCAATCACTTTGTAACCAGAAGGTTGTGGGTTCTAACTCTGGCAGTGGCGTGTGTGAGTATTGGTGATGAGTCCCAAACTAGGCTGACGAAACAGCTAGGTGTCCAGTACTCGAGCAGTGGTTTTGAAATGGCTTTCTATTCGAGGTCAAGTTAAACTTTAAACACCACTAGCTGCTAATGTAGTACGACCGCTCCATCGACCTTGAATAGTCTAATGGGTTTTATTCACTGAGACTGAAGCTTCTATTCCGCTTGGTTCGAGTCAATTGCCAGTTCTAATGCAGTTGCTGATGATTCTAATAACATTTTTTGCCAGGTGCCATCTGACCTTAACCTAGATTTTGTATATTTGTAATTACTGGGTTTTAAAACATCCTATGAGAGATGCAGCTTCTGAAATAGAAAATAGTCTCGTATCAACAGTTCAGTGGTACCAGTAGTGCAGAGATATTGCATCCTGGAAAATAAAGAGGCTTACTTCCTTAATGGGGGGGGGGGAGGAGGTGTCGTCGTGCATGTAGATGAAGCCATCTTATTAAAGAAAAAATGCAACCGTGGTCGAGAACGAGTAAATAATGTTTGCGTGATTGGTTTATATGATACCTCTCTACAGAAAGGATTTGTCGAGAGGATAGCAGATAGAAATTCCGATGAAACAAGGATCCAGAATACACACAGATGAGTTGAAAGCTTATAACTCCTTGTCATCCCTTGGATATATTCCTCACAGAGTCAACCATTCTAATGATTTCGTGGATCCCATAACAGAAACACATACCAATTCTATCGAAGGCTTTTGCAGTAGGTTAAAAGCAGGATTAGAGCCATTAATGGACCTCATAAGGATGTCATTTATAGTCATTTAGATGAATATATGTATAGGGTGTTGTGTAACTTTTCAATTGATACTCCTGTGCTAAACTGGGAGATGTTTTTACCAGATGGGAGGGAAAGGCATCCTCTGTAAAACTTTTATACAGTTTTCATGCATTTTTTCCATAAATATATGTATTCCATACATCGAAATGCCTGCTTCATGTGACTGGTGCTCAACAGTCCGCTCCGTCCTCTTTTATGGCTGTGAGACATGGCCATTGAGAGCAGAAGACATGAAAAGATTAGCTGTCTTCGATCATAGGTGTCTGCGTTCTATCTCCCGTGTGAAGTGGTAAAATAAAGTGAGCAATATTGAGGTTAGGCGTCGAGTGCTAGGTAAGGAGGGGAAATCAGGCGACGAAACTGTGAAATTACATCGACTGAGATGGTTAGGACATGTGCTACGTATGCCTAGTCATCGCCTTCCTCGACAATGGGCAATGTTAGCTGATATAGGGCCAGGCTGGAAAAGAGCTAGCGGCGGTCAAACGAAAACATGGTACCAGTAAATGAAATCCACAACAGTTAGTCTAAGCCACATAGGAAGGTGTAGACTTCCTGACTGGTTGGGGTCCTCGGGACGGTAAAAACCAATGGTTGTAAACAATTGGTGACATGGCTCAAAATTGTTCTCAATAGCTGGCGCAGATGCATCCAGTCCTTGGGACTTATGATTTCCAGTTGAACTGTTTTGTTCTTCGTTATTACTATTCCTTTGTCTCACACCTCTGTTTACTGACTATATTATGCATTTCTTCTACTTTCTTCTCTTGCTTTGTGTACTACAAGGAGTGGAGTGTGGCGACTTGAGCTGCCGCACATATGTGCAAAGTTCTATGTCGAAAACCGACCGACCGACCGACTGGTGCATTCAAGGCTATTCGCTGATTGGTGGTAGTTAGTGGTGCTTAAAGTTTAACTTTGCCCTAATCGATTTCAGCTCATGATGAAATCCAATAATAATAATAATTATTAAACTTGTATTTTTCTTTAATTTTTGATTTGTTGTAGATGTGAAATTATACTTCACTTATCATGTTGACAAGTTTCATTTCAATAATGATAATGATTCTGATTCTGATGACGACGATGATGACGGTGATGATGATGAACAAATCAATATTGGTTGTATAGTTGAACGTGATCCATTAGCACTGGTACACAGTAAAGGTATACATAAGATAACTATGCATGGTTATGCTGCACAATACTTTGAAATTAATTATTCAGGCAAATATCCAGTAATAAAATCACGTCGTCTACCTACCAATGATGATAGTGAATCAGTATATGGATATGCATTGTTTCAGTGTAGTTATACCTTTTATAATGGAGAGAAATATACTACTGATATGGCTATATACATTGTAGATAAGAAAGCGTCTACCTATGAACGTGAGTGACTTAGTTTCTTATATGTGTCTAATGTTTATCAGAATAAAATAATACTGTCTCTCTATCTCTCTCCCTGATAGGAATTGGCTTAATGGGAGCAATCATCTTATGATTCATCGTGTGATCAGATGACTGTAAAATGTCATCATCCTTTTTCGTACTTCTTTCTGTCTTGGTCAAACTGTCGATCATTCACAATGGCTGGAGGGTTTCATCATGAGCTGACATCAGTTAGAGAACTATTCGAAAACCTAGGAGTACTGGACAGCTGTGTCGTCATGGTTGGAGACTCTTCACAGTACGCACCCACCTACTGAGGTTCGAACCCGGGACCTTCTGGTTACAGAGTGAGCGAGATCGTAGACCATTAGGCCACTGAGACCTGATCCAGTGGTCAGTCTGCCAATCCGCGACATAGCGTGACTTGGGTTTCTAGTGGAAAGCCGTAACCAGTGGGGGTGCAGGTTGAAGGTGAGGAGATTTACTCATCGAAGAATACATTACGAAATTGTCGTGATATGTCGTGAATTGGCAGAAGTTAGAATTCATGGACTGACCATTGGCTAAATGGTCCAGCAGCTAACTCGCCTTGTCACCAGACAGTCCTGGGTTGGAACCCCGATGGGTGGGTGGGTACTGATGAAGAGCCCCCAACCAGGACGAAACAGCTGTCCAGTACTCCTAGGTTTTCGAATGGTTCTCTAACTGATGTCAGCTCATGATGAAATCTTCCAACGAATTAAACAAACAAAAATTCCTTCAAAACCAATATTTGAAAATCAATCAGAATATTCATTTTCCTTGGACCTAGCCGGATCGTTTACCAATCAGAACAATCTATTTTCACTGACTTGGAGAGATTTTAATGAGGTTAAAAATATATGTGCATTTGCCTAATAAAATTGTGTCTTAACAGTCACAGAGAAGTCTTTGTCTTTCGATATTTATATGACTCAGTGAAGCGGAATATATCACGAACGAATAGTTATATCTAGCATATCAGTTAAGTTTTTCATTGCGTCAGTGTTATTAACCCCCCGCTTGGTCATATCAACTGTCAACACCATCATCAGTTGGCGACAAGTCCAAAATAAATTGGCGACGAGTTCATTTTGGCTGGAGACGCAGATAACAATAATCCCCTTCTTTGATATAAGAATAGAACTTGTGCACTGTTGTAGAGTATAAGTCCATTGAGGGTAAAATTTATTTTGATAATGTCTCACAGTGTTATACAGTAATATTTACTGATGACCATGTTTCGAGAACAATTTATTACTGCATCTCATAATCATATCCAGGTACTCACACAACTTTCTAACTTTGTTTATATAATTCCATTATTCTGCATCGCTTGACTTGATTGGTAGTAGTATTTTCCATATTTCCGGTATGAGTGATGAGTCATTTTTATTGCATGTGTTTGGTATAGACTCGATGAACAAGGATTTAGTAATCAATCTCTTTCGCTCTCCACCTACCTATATTACTCCTTAGAATTTTGACTCTCTCTCACCCGCCCTATTGTGTGGTTGTGTGTCAATGCATGCAGTGGAGTCGCTGACCTATTTTCTAAATTACTTATCTTTTCGAGGTCAACCATTCTTCCTTTAGCTAAATTGTTATGTTCTGATAATCTGACTACTCCCAACCTACTAGTGTGATCTATGTAGTTGACCTAATTCACAGTCATTACAAGTTATTTTGTAAATTATATTATTTTGTTTAATTGGGTCAACTGGGTCCTTTAACCTTCAACACTTAGCTTTAACATAATGTCCCATTGGGAATCGTTCAAACTTTAGACTAACTAATTCATATGAGACGAAAAATAAACTAAATGACATTCAACTAGAGAATAATGAAACAATGGTTAGTTTTGATATAACTAGTCTTTATACTAATATACAAATCAATATGGCCTTTGAAGCATGTAAAAAAGAACTAACTGCATATCCTGAACTCACTCATAGGACAAAGCTGCCCACTGAAGAAATAATTTTAGGAATTCAATTATGCCTCACATCCACTATCTTTAAATTCCAGGGCAAAATATATAGACAAACAGAAGGTGTAGCAATGGGATAGATCACCAATATCCCCTATTGTAGCAGATATCTTTATGGATAGCTGGGAAAATATTGCTCTTAATACATTTAATCCTGCTCCAAAAATATGATGGAGACATGTGGATGACACGTTCAAATTCTAAGAAGTAATATAGGTAGGTGGAGAGAGTGAGAGAGGTTGATTACTGCATCGTTGCTCGTCGAATAATCTACACCCAACACGTGCAACAGGAATGACTCATCACTCATACCGGAAATATGGAAAGTACTACTACCAATCAAGTTAAGCGATGAAAAATCATGGAATTATATAAACAAAGTTAGAAAGTTGTGTGAGTAACTTGATATGATTGTGAGCTGAGGTAATAAATTGTTCTCGAAACGTGGTCATCAGTAAACATTACTGTATAACACTGTGAGACTTTATCAAAATAAATTTTACCCATAATGGAATCTCCTTCTTGTTGTTACAAGTAACATTTGATTGAATTTAATTCATAAAAGTGTTCAAATTACGGTTACAGACGTTTGATCGGATCACTTGATTGTATTAAAGTATATAAAAAAAACCGTCCTTATCTCAACAAAAAAAATGTTAATCGTGAAATACTTGGTGTTAGTGATAACAGTCGGTATTTGATCTACAAAGTGGGACAGATATTGTATGTACAACTCACAGAGTTTTAGTACCAGAATGCTGAAATAGAATCAATATTTTTTCCGACGATAAGCATCTTTTCTTGCTATTTCTTGCTGTTAATACACTTCCTACCTAGTCAGTTGATTTGTCAGCCTACTGTTCTAATCACCGTTAGCAACAATAATAACGACATGACAGTGGTATCACAGAACCCACAACGCGAGGAGACAGACTGTTGATGTATACTCATATAGTCTTAGACAATACCCATCTGAATAGTAGAGGCAAAAGGACAAGCAATTCATTAAAGATATTTCCTCGGTGGTATTTTATCCTCAAAGAGAACTAGATTCGTGGTAAATGCAGACATCGGATTGGGGTATTTTTTAAGCAAAAAGATCTAGCTTCTAGATGCAGATGGTAAGAGCTTCTGCATTACAAAGAAATGAGGAAGACACTGCTTCTGGTTGCTCTTTATTTACAAGGTATTCAATTATAGCATTTCTCAATGAACTATCATAGTACCACGTCATTACAACCATGTTACGTAGGTGTTCTCTAACACATCCTCTAAAAACGTATGAAATTGTGGAGAACTCGTCTTTGCTCAGGTCCTTGTTCACTTCTCTCAAACTGAAATTAATTCTGTTTAATCCAATTTGAAGTTTCTCGTTGACAGGTTGACATGTCGGTTCCTTGTGCGGATGCTTCGACGATGTCTGATTATTTGATTTGAAGTAAATTACTGGTGGATGCTGACTAGCAGTGGAATCCGGGACAATGCGCATTTCGTCCTATTTGGGACTCGTCAGCCACTGGATGTATCTGCATTCCTCAGTGAGTGGATGACAGTGTTTCAGCTGAGGCTTGGACCAAGTACCTATCGTTTCAAACACCAAAGCGGGTACATTCAGCTGATGAGTCAGTCTCAAATGGGACTAGATTGCACTGCTAACCACCATCCACCAATTTACCTTAAGCGGAAGAAATTTTAGTATTTAACTGGTGGATGGTGACTAGCAGTGGAATCCAGGATTCGCATTTCGTCCCATTTGAGACTCGTCATCTGGATGCCGATATATTAACCTGAGACCGAGCACTTCGGTCCAATCAATTGACGGGAAAATCTAAAATTCAATTAAAAGAAAGAAATTTTAGTTTAATAATTATGACTAATGTATTGTTTTTTTTTAAATTTTCTTTTTTATCTGAAGCACCTTCGGTTTTGATTATTACAATACTATCTTCATTAATGTCAATCTGGTGGTTTGTTTGGTGGATTATCGTGTTATACACAATGTGTTGGATTGTTTTTTATCAAATTTATACAACTAATGAAGAGTTAAGTGATTCACAAATAGAAGTACAAATGTTTCTAGATAACTGTTATGCAATTCAGAATATCGATCATCAACATCCTCACCACCAAATAGTGGTATCCACAAATCAAGTTCAACAATTATCTCATGATCCATCGGTAATAAAATGAAAAAAATTCTGTTTTATTGTTTTTTAATTGGTCAAAAATGTCCATTTGAAATTTCAAAAGACTGATTACCACTGAACATAGAATATTCTTTTCGATAACCTTCTCTTCATCAGGTTCTACGTCCATATACATCCATAATAATCAAAGGATTAGGGCTATTAACAATATTAATGTGGTTTAAATAACATCGAATCAATCAATAGTATGAATCGATTAGGGTTTGAAAGGATCTCCACTAACACCACATTACAAACTGAATATCAGATAAATTAAGAAGTTATGAACTGATAGTCTCAAATGAAGGCGAACGAGGGCAGTAGTAGTGGCTAGCTGGGCCCGTTTCTCCTTCACACAGATCACACTGGCTATTTTAGGAGAATCGCAATAGCCTCTGATGTTTGGAGTATTCACTAGCTGGATACTTTTAGCAATCTATCTGGTAACCGATAGATGATAATGGAGAAGGATTCTTCAATGCTAGCTGGCTTAGTGACCTGTCGCTGTGGACCATGTGGTCTAGTATCAAGCTGATAATGTTATTCAATATACCTTTGTTTAGCCACACTGGTAGGTGTTGCCAAGTGAGCAAGAATAATCAAATTCGTAAAGCATCGGTCAATATAACCTGCTATTATTACCACACTTTTATCAGGCATACTATTAGTTTTCTTAGGATATGTGTAAATCAGAAAATCATTCTTGGGTATTAATCAAAAATGAGGAGTGTTCAAACCAACCTATGAGTTTAGTTAAATCAAACATGTTAAAAAATTATTATTTAGTCCTATATGGTTTACATTTGCTAAACATATTCATTCGGTTTTTACGAAGTTACTTTCAACTTCAATACTAATATTACAGTTAGATGTTTATAACTATAATAATACAACCACAATAATACCAGTTTATATTATTAATATGTACATTCATGAATAATAATTTTTTAAAGTTTGGTTCTCATTGGAGTCTCATAGATATTCACCTAATGAATTCGAAAACAGAACAAAAACAATGCTCAACTTGGATTTTCATACTAACCTAATTCACCAACTAAACTAACTAACTAACTAACTAACTAACTAACTAACTAACTAACTAACTAACTAACTAACTAACTAACTAACTAACTAACTAACTAACTAACTAACTAACTAACTAACTAACTAACTAACTAACTAACTAACTAACTAACTAACTAACTAACTAACTAACTAACTAACTAACTAACTAACTAACTAACTAACTAACTAACTAACTAACTAACTAACTAACTAACTAACTAACTAACTAACTAACTAACTAACTAACTAACTAACTAACTAACTAACTAACTAACTAACTAACTAACTAACTAACTAACTAACTAACTAACTAACTAACTAACTAACTAACTAACTAACTAACTAACTAACTAACTAACTAACTAACTAACTAACTAACTAACTAACTAACTAACTAACTAACTAACTAACTAACTAACTAACTAACTAACTAACTAACTAACTAACTAACTAACTAACTAACTAACTAACTAACTAACTAACTAACTAACTAACTAACTAACTAACTAACTAACTAACTAACTAACTAACTAACTAACTAACTAACTAACTAACTAACTAACTAACTAAATGACTGACTGACTGACTGACTGACTGACTTTTTGAGAGCAACTGACTGAAGTTATTAGGTATTTTCAGAGCGTTAACCACCTCGTCTCGTAACACTGCATACACGATCGACCGCATCAAGATCACCAAATTTACAGTATATCTATTGTGTAATTATTACGTCAATGGTCCAGTGGTAGAATGCTCCCCAACCTCGCCTCATGTGGTTTGCATATCAATCGCCAGTCGACGCCGCACTCCTTAACGTCATTAAGCCGGTAATAAGACTGATAAATAAAGAAGGTCGGGCAACCCCATCCCGTAAAAACAAACACCAATGCTACTGGAACTTCAAAGGTCTAGCTTGAAGCCCTATATTCCACCCCCGGGAATGTAAAGGAACATAAAATAATTTTTAAAAATATTGTGTAATTTCCACATGTTATTTAGTTGGTAGAATTTGGATAACTGTTTTTTGTTCAAGTAATGGTTTGCAGGGATTTCATCATGAGCTGACATTGTTTAGAGAACCATTGGAAAACTGCCAGGGAGTACTGGACAGCTAGTTGTTTCACGACCCTAGTTTGGGACACTTCAGAGACTTTTCCTGGGTTCCAAGGAAAGTCGTGACCACTGGGATCCACCAAGTCAGGAGTGAGGACGAATACTCTCAACGGATGATGATATTCGCTGGTGCAATTCGCGTTAAAATCACGAATCGGTAGAAGTTAGAATTCATAGGCCGGCAGCTATTGAAGAGTCGGGACCCTGTGGCTGTATGACTAATGAGCTCACCATGTAACTGGAAGGTTGTGGGTTCGAACCCTGCCAGTGGGGTGGGCACGTACTAGTGATGAGTCTCAAACCAGTCTGACGAAACAGCTAGCTGTCCAGTACTCCTTAGTGGCTTTCAATGATGGTTCTCTAACTGATATCAATCCATTATCGATCTTGAAGCTCATATCAAATCCCTACAAACACTGACTCATGAAAAAAATTGTTTATTAGTAAATAAACACAGGGAAATTGTTCTCTTTCATTTTTATTGTTAAAATGATTTCTTTACTATTTAGCATGATTTCGTCGAATTGTTCATTTTAAATCGAGATGAGATTGACAGCGAACTATTTACGCAGATTAAAGGATTTATTCAAATGTATCAAAGTTATTATCTAATGGTTAATCATTGGAAATCATTATGGTTGGCGAATGTAAGTAGAATTTATCATTGTAATTATTCTTATTTTTATTCTTAATTGTCTATTTTATCTATATTCTATGCGCGTCCTTAACACACGAGGGTAGAATGCTTACCAACCACGCTTCATGTTGTTCGGGGTTCGATTCCCGGCCACCAGACTCACTCCTTTACCTCATTCATTAAGCCAGTAATAAGACTGGTAAAGAGGGAAGGTTGGACATGAGGTTAGCAACCCCACCCCGTAAAAATAAACACCTCTGTCACAGAAACTTCAGTCCTCTACCCTGAAGCCCAATGTTCCACAGGGAAAGTAAAGGAGTAAGAAGATGCAAATTCTATACGCATTGTAAGATCAGCACAAACAGTACTGGCATTCACGCTGCTGTATCTCTAAAGTATTCCGAATGGCTGTTAAAGTCGAAGTAATTTAATGGAAGCTGACTAGCACTGGAATCGAGGACAATGTGTATTTCGTCCCATTTTGAACTGACTCGTCACTGGATGTGTCTATATTCCCCAGTCAGTGAGTGAATGATGGTGATTCCACATGGTGGCTGCAACCCAATTACCATCATTTCGAATGCTAAAGTGCTATCCATTAGACTACTTGGACCACGACAATCACCTCTTTATTGTGCATTGGATCGCTTTGAACCTTCCCATTGATTGATTGGACCAAAATGTTTGCCTTCTGCTGACATGTCGGCTCCTCGTACACCCAACTGACGAGTCCCCAGTAGGACGAAATGCCCGAAATCATGGATTCCACCAGTGCGATTCATCATCCACCAAATGATTTATTTGTTGCTTTTTTGAAATTTCATATTTTCGCCTATCACGGGTGATATCTCACAGCAGTATGGTAGAAGAAGGCGAAAGTTTGTGCATTACACAAATGCACACACGCACGGAACTTTTTCTTGGCAGAGAGGGATCAATCACCTCGTAAGCAAAGGCAATACAGATTCACAAATACAGGCTTCATCATTTAACCAAAACACCTTTTATAATTTTGACTGGACACTAGTCAGTAACTAGTGTAATGTGTCTAGTCCTATCTTCGGTGCTGACTGAATTCTTTCATGGTGGCCGCATTGCAAGCTTGACTGAAAGAATTCAATCTGCACCGAAGATAGGACTAGACACATTACACTAGTTACTGACTGGTGTCCAATCGAAAATATCCAATACAGTCCTACAGGAGGTCATTAGCAAGCCTGAATAGCTCAGTGGTAACATCTCTGACTGCAGCCGGCATTGAATGACACGGGTTCGAATCTCAGAAGGAACATGACTTCCTTCGAGGTTGCAGATGAGCCTTGCTGATGAGTGAGTGCCAACTAGCACGAAACCTACGTTTGGTCAAGGCTTCCTAACGATTGCCTCCAACCATCTAACACACCTTTTATAAAGATTTTAATTTTGTGATAGAATTTATTCATAATTATTTGAATTCATTTCAGTTGAGACCCATTTTTTTTCGATGATTTTGGTTGAACTCAGTTAACTGAAGAGTATATATATCTGTCACTTAATTAAAACTATTTTCAAGGTTAGGAAAAGTAGGAAGCATACAGAGAAGTTCTGTGCCGGGTGAAGACAAGAAACTCGGTAACGGAATGCATTTTTACAATCTGATATACACTTATACGGAAGTTATGTACACCTTATATGAAATCCATCATTTGCATAGATCTTTCGTGTTGTCCTATTTCTGCCCTTCCTTCGTGTTGTGCTTCTTTGTCTTCCATATTCGTGTCTCCCATGTTTTGCCACTGCTGTACTGTTTCATTTCGTCTTCCTTTGACGTCAAATCTCTCTCTCTCTCGGCTATTTGATATTTTTGTGTGGCGATGAACGTCTCTTTTTAAATACTACTGAAAAGATTTGTCTGTAACACACCATCTAAGCGCAATATCTCTTGAAATTAAGTCACGCGTAGATAAAGGCTATCCCGGTCCAGAACAAACAAGAAGCCGGTCACTGTTTCTACGGTACTATTAAGAAACAAATCAATAATTATATATACAACAAAACTTAGCGGTTTCAAGAGTACAAAGCACAACGCTTAACAGAAAGCAAGGTAGCGCTATCAGAGCGGAATAACGTTAAAGCCAAAACTGAGAACTAGCCGGAATCAGACACGACCGTTCAGGTAAGCAGTCAGTAGAAGAATGAACCCAAGTAAGAGATAGACAGAGCATAGGCACAAAGACAGAATTTAATTGGCTCCTTAACCAGGAAGGCTGATACAGATGAAGATCAATAAATAAGATAAACTCGACAGAATAGTACAAAGTAAGACATGGGTCAGCAAAATAACAGTTCACAAAAATACTCTGATTGGGTCATGAGTTCAACTATCTGACTAAACGGATCGATGTGAAAACACACAGTTCATTAAACAAGGGGGGATAGACACTTTAGGCATGGATAATTGGGTTGCAACAATGCTAGGCTGATCCGGGACAGGTTGGCTTGATTCAACGATGGGAATTGAATTGATCTTACACACCATATATATCATACATTATTCTGGAAACAAAACAATTGTTTCCAAAGTTGTGTTATTAGAATTTGAGTAGAGTAATAGGAGTGAGTAGGTCTAGTCACTATTAGTGTCATAAAGGATAGATGTGTGAAAGTTTAAAAAAAGAAAATTAGTTCCATTGTAATTCCAGTGACTGGATAAACTTCTTCAATATTCAGGGTTCAGAATTTATCCGCATAAATTACTATTGGTCAAAGTTTTTACACAATCTATGCATGACTTGGAAATTAACTTTCGAGTCTATTTAACTAGCCGAATCACACTCAAGTATTCTAAAATACAACTGCTTGTAGAAATAATTTTTATTGCTTGTGTTAGTATTATCTAAGACATTTTTATTAAATATTTAACTTGTTCGCATACTTTTCATTCATTCAGTGTTATGATTTCCTGTCTTCTTCATCATTTAGGATCGTGAAGGTATTGAAGAATCAGCTCAAATGATCGCAGCATTTATTAGGAAATATATGAAAGATAATTCAGGTAGAATATGAATTTTTCTATGGTTTTCTTGTTTATTCATTTGGAAGATGCTCATAAAACAAAGTTAAAAGATTGATTAATGAACAAAGAATAATTCAGATTGTCGACAAATTTCTCTTCATCAGGTTCCAAATTGGACATTGATTGGACATCAATTAGTAACTAGTGTATGATCAAAGTATACAATACAGTTCTATGGGAGGCAAATCGCGTGGCCGAATTACTAAGTGGTGGTAACGTCTCTGACTGATTTTAACACTGGTTAACACAGGTATGAATCTCAGAAAGGACATAAATTCCTTCAAGGTGATTGCAGATACATCTTACTGATTGGTGAGCGTCAAATATCATGAAACCTAGTTCAGGCTGGGCTTTCTGTTGATTGCCTCCAACCATCTAATAGGATTATATTATTATTATTTCCTTAAATTCCTAGAGGAACAAAGGGCTTCAGAGGCGCGTCTCCATTGCGTTCTATTCTCTTCTAGAGTCTTCACCTGGCTCTAAGTCTGCCCACATGCTTTCATCTCCTCTTCACATGACCTCCTCCATGTCATCCTCGCACTGACGACCAACTCGCCGCTTCCCTTTCGGGTTTCACTCGAGCAATGGCTTGTCTAGTGATGTCACTTGATGGTTTCCTCAGAGTATGGCCAATCCATCTCCATTTCTTCCTGCCTATTTGTTGCACAATCGGTTCCTGGTTGGTTTGCTCATCGTCAGAGATCTCTGTTGCTTATCTTTTCTGACCGGTCATCTAATCTTGAGTAGTATTGAGCGAAGACAACTGTTAATGAAGGTCTGTAGTTTGTTTGAGATGCTCTTTATAACGCGCCAAGTTTCTGATCCGTATAGTAGCACTGACTTCACATTGGATTTGAAAATCCGGATCTTATTTTTGACGCTGAATGCTGTTGACGTCCACACAGACTTGAGAGTAATGAAAGTTTGTCTTGCTTTCCCGATCCTTGCTTTGATATCCTTGTCAGTTCCACCTGTAGTTGAAACGATGCTTCCCAGGTAGGTAAAGGAGGTAGTGTCTTTCAGGTTCCTCCCATCTAATATGATAGTAATTAACATCATTAATCCTCTTTTAAATGACTTTAAATCAATGGTATCGACAAACAGATTACAATTCAAAAGTATCAGTAAGAGAAACAAAGACAGGAAATGGGGTAGAAATTTAAAGTGCTAATGTTTATGGAGGATTGGTTGGCCTTATTGGTGACCAAGGTAAACCTAGCGGTTGGACATAGTTCTTCTGTATACAGAGACCAGCTCATATGCTGTTGATTGTTATCGCCTCAGCTACTGATAAAAAACGTAGTTGATCTCCTCAAGATAGATTACGAGGAATATAGTACATATCCGACAACGCCTGCTCTGGTATCTACCAAGTGGGCTGAGACTATTGGTTTCCTCTTTACTCAACAATACGGGTATATTTTCACGTGGGTGCATGTATTAAGCCCTCTGAGTACAGTCAGTGTAACTAGCTACACATGAGGAATTGAATTCATAGACTCACACTAATGAGGCCATCATTTGTGACTCATCTTTGACTCGCTGTGTGAGTACTGGTTTAGTTGAGAAGTTGAGTACCAGTTTATCTGAGGGAAATGTTCTCTCAGTTGATCTAGTAAGTTCACATTTTAGAATGTCTGCTGCGATCCGCCTTCTGCAACTTAAGATACAAAGGTTTCTTATCTACAGTATCCATCATTACTGTATCCCTCCGTAACGATTGGCATGTACTTTGCTTGAAAGTTCTCCGAATATCCGTCTTCTCATAGTGTAAGTTGAAGTTAACAAATTTCTTCCTTATTGCATTCCTCTGAATATATACGTTTTATTCGATAACCAAGGCACTTACCTAAGTTATTTTTGTATTGAAGCGGTGTGAAGCTTTGCAAAATGGACCTGTCCAAGCCTTCTTTGTAAATGTCCGTCTATCTTATTGGTGAAGAGGAAGAATATACTGTAGTTTTCTTCTTCCCTGTAGGTGAAATGAATAGCTGGATGAACATTATTCACAGCATTCAGAAGTTCTTGTTTATTAAGATTTCTGTCTCAGACGATGAAGGTGTCATCTGCATATAGACAATAATAATTAGGCTCCTTAATTGTGTCTTTCAGTGGATCTTTTTTAAGTTTTGCCAGGAAATATCCGCGAGCATTGGATCGAGAGGTGACCCCATCACAACCTGGTCAACTTGTCTACAAAAATTACTGTTGAACATAGACTGGACATTCATCATGTATTTTAACGGTAATTCCTTCACCCTTTCAGGTTAGGTGAGATTCCTATGTCTGTCTTTCATTCTGTCAGTTTGTCACATAAGTAACTGACTGTCTCGATTAGCGCGACGTTGGTGACATTATTTTCTTTCAATTTTTACTCGAGCTTTGGACAGTTCCTCCAAATGTGAATACATCCTTCCCGCTGAAATGCACCAGTGCACACAACAGAGGTCATAATACGAGAATAGGACGTAATGGGACTTCATACCTGTAAACTTTCGGTGAACTGCAAAGTCTTAGTATCTGTTTGTGTCCTAAGGTTTTATTTCAACAAGCTCAGATTTGGGAATCGGATTACTCTCACCTAATGATTTTAGTACCTTAGTCATTTGGCATTCGGTGGCCTCAGTTGTATGTCTGCAACTACTTACTTTTTGAAATTGTGTTCGATCGCTTAGAATGAGGTCCATTTTGTCTATATAATTAATCTTATTCGTGGTAACTGTACCATATTAGGTCTAGTTATTATCAGATTTTCATTCCTCTTGAGGTCATGTAATGTCTCCTGGTGTTCTTTCATCAGTAGACTGTCTGTTGTTCTCGAACTTGTATCAGGAGTCAGTTAGAGTACTTTTAAATCTTTCTAGTTAATACTTAGTCGAAGGAATTAAGTCGTTTATCTGGGCAAATAAGTTTTCAAATTAAACGTCAACCTCTAAATGATTAACCTGACTACCTCTGTCTGAGAAAAAAAACAACTTTAGACTAAAAGATAAAGCTTTTAGCTGTGTTTTATTTGAGCATTTAGAGGAAAGGTTAAAAAGGTACAGGTTGTAGTCAATTGAGAAATTGATTTAGTTCGTCTGTGCATCTAGTTCTTTTATTCAATAATATTCGTCTCTTGTTGTCACAAGTTTTCATTACTTTATTACCATAATCAATAAGTAAATCCTTCAAATTCTGAGCAAGTTCATCAACTGAATAAAGTCTTTGGGAAATAGTTCTCTGTAGTACCAACATATATTTGTTTGGAGGAATTCGATTTGTTTAAGAGCCAATCGTTTCAACGACTTTCCATTCGGTTATGTTTTACATTGACGTATTGATTTTGAATATAATTTAGGATACCGATTATTCACAATGCAATTTCGAATAAACTACATGTTTCTTTATCGTCCCAGTGAGCATAGCACTATACTTCTGATACTCATTGACTGCCTTCAGTGCTACAAGATGTACGCAAGATTTCAGAAACTTGAATATCCTCATAACTTATTTAGAATCAGAATAATCAGAGAGAACAACTGTGATTTCAATAAATTCTTCTTCAGGCTCTACAATTATAAATCCACACTCATTTGTTTCGTAATTATTTCCCATTTTTTGCATTTTATGCACTGTGTAATCCATTTGTTTAATTTCTGTAATTATATCCACCCTTCAGTTATTGCATTAATTCTTTTGTGGTTAATTGTCACCCCTTGGACATGCTGGTATTATCGCGTTCCAACTTATTTGAATTTTTTGACAGTGGTGGCCAATCAGGTAGTTCGGATCTTTATCTTCACTGGCTACCAAATTCACTCCATCCATGCACACATAAGTAGACAAATTAATCTACATTTTAACCAGTCAGAAAAATTATTTCTTCATAAGATATTGCTTAATTTATGGATTTATAATTTAGAACAACACATTTAAGCGAACAATATTGTTTTCAATTAGATCTCATCAGGCTTAACTCTAATATATATAAGTTTACAAATAAAATTCAAATATAAACCAATCATGGTGTTTTGTCTATAGGATAATAAGATGGTGAATGTAAATTGTGCAATAAGTCATAATAGTAATAATAATAATAATAAAAATGGTCTTATCAATAATAAGGATGAAAAAGTGAGGCAATCTGTGATAACACGAATAATGAAAAACAGCATGATTAAACAAACAAACAACTGTTCAGGTGGAAGTAGTCGATAAAGGCTAGTAAAAACAAATGAACCGATTAAGTAATGTTAGATTGTAAGGGAAGTAAATGAAACACGTTTATAATGAAGATGTGATAAGATTAAGGCATGATAAGAAAGGGGTTGAAAATATAAACAAAAGGTGGTGTAGAAGTCATCAGTTGGTTATGTCTTAATAGGCCAAGGGAGGGATAATGGCTGTACGAACTTTTTTTGAATACATAGTTTAGGTTTAATAGTTTGAATGCCTATTGCCTCAGCTGTGTGCAGTAGACGAATACGAAGTCTGTTGGAAAGATTCGGTGGGATACGATGAATCACTTTGAAAGCTCTCGTTTTCTCCACTACATGACCACTATCAATTAAATGTGACAAAATTGAGCTACGGATTGTTTTTGTCTGTCCTTTGCCAAACCACGATGGGAGATGCTCACTAACAAGTTGGCTAAGCTGTCTAGTAGTACGCCCAATATAACTGTCACCGCAGGTGCAGTTGAATTGATAAATACACATAGATGTGGCAAAACTGTCCAGCTTATCCTTCGTTTGCGTCCCAATCATTCGTCGGCTAGAGAATGACAAACATAGGTGTGCTGCGTAAAATGTTCTTCGTATACTCCTTGAAAGTCTTTGGAATAGAATCTCATTTGATAAGTCACCATTAAATTGTAACTTAATAAATAGAGGTTTCTTACGTGCCGTCAGAGTCTCCAGTTTTTTCTCCGATGTTTTCATATGTTTCTTTATGAAATTACTCGGATAGCCCATCTCCATCAAGGATTCGTGAATATATTCAAATTCCTTTTGTAAGAGGTCATCTGTACATATCTTTCTTGCTCTGCTCGCAAGACATTTTACAACATTCCTTTTAAATTTAATGGGCACGTAACTAAGGAAGTGTGTCTATTGCCCTTTGAAAGTGCTTTTTCTATACACGCTTCTCCCAAGTGACCCATCTTCTCTTTTATTTAGCAAGACATCCAGGAAATGTAGTTTATTGTCCTGTTCTTCTTCACAAGTAAAGGTAAGCGAAGGGTGGATGTTGTTGAATTTCAGCAACAATTCGTCTATATTAACATTCTCATCAGCTAAGATAAGTGTATCATCGACATATCGATAATACATATCAAACTGCTTGATGATGTCCTTCAATTTCCCGTTTTCAAGTTTTGCGAGAAAGAAGTCAGCTAACACTGGGCCTAATGGTGAACCCATAGCTATTCCATCTACTTGTCGATAGTATGCATTATTAAAGACGAAGTGAACATTCATTGTGCATTTAAGAAGTAATTCTTTGAGGCTACACAAGGGATTTATAATTGTAGAGCCTGACGAAGAAGAATTCATTGAAACCACAATTTTTCGCTGTAACTATTTTATTCTTATATATCTTGTGAAGAAGTAATTTTTCTGATTGGTTAAAAAGTACACTAATTTGTCTACTGATGTGTGCGTGGGTGGAGTGAATTGGTAGCCAGTGAATATAAATATCCTAATTACCTGATTGGCCCTAATGTCAAAAATTCAAATTAGTTGGAATGCGATAATACCAGCATGTCAAAGGGGTGACAATTAACCACAAAAAAATTAATGCAATGACTGAAGGGTAGAAATAATTATAGAAATTAAACAAATTTATTACACTGATTGGTAGATAGTGACTGGCAGTGGCATCCAGAATGCGCATTTCGTCCTGTTTGGGGTTCGTCACTGGAAGTACCTGCATTCCCCAGTGAGTGATGTTCCCAGCTAGGCTCAAACCCACTGCCCATAGTTTCAAACGCCAAAGCGTTGTCTTCTAGACTACTTGGGCTACGAGAGCCACTGTCTCTTGTGCAACAAGTCATATTAATTATTTAATTGAATTTTAGATTTTCCCGTCGATGGATTAAACCTAAGTGCTCGGTCTCAGGTTGACATGTCGGCTTCTTGTGCAGATGCTTCAACGATGTCTGGGCATGTAATTAGAATGGATTACATAATGCATAAAATGTAAAAATGGAAATAATTACGAAATAAATGAGTGTGGATTTATGATTGTTGAGCCTGACGAAGAAGAATTTATTGAAACCACAATTGTTCTATCTTATTATTTTGCTTCTGAATAGATTATGAGAATATTCAAGTTACATACAGGAATATTTAACGTTCGACCAACGTTTCCTAGCCTAATAGGTTAGATTTTCAAATTCGATATTGTTAGGAAAAAACTGTGGTAGTTCTCAATTCAGAGAAGAAGAATACGCAAAAGAACTGGGAAGGAGGCAAATTATTTCAGTCGCCATCCTCAAGTACATCATAAAGTAAACAACCCATGAAAACCAATCATAGCAAACTGACATTAAGATAGGTAAACTTGTTAACCAACTGTATCCTCCCTCCCCCCCACACACACATACACACACCATATACATGGAGAGATAGCCTTATTCCACCTTACCTACTGTAATAATGTTTCTCATTTAGACACTTAAGATAAAATCCAGTATCATATACTGTGTTGCCGAAGGAAACCACCATGAAATTTCACCACTGGAACTGTGTAAATTGCAAATTATGAATCTGATAATCTAATATCATCTGGTCAGACAAAACTAGGTAAGCAATCATATGCAAGGGATAGCAAATCATATAAAGAGTAAATGCATGATATTTATAATGAATTATGTATCTTTGAAAGCTTTTCGACTGAGTCATTGTTAGGTGGGTGAGTGGGTGTCTGCCTCACTGGCTAATTTGGTTTAACTTTACCAAACATACTTTTACTTCTCACTCAAGAGATAAGTAGAAAACTTTATAAGAACAACACTATTAATGTCTCAGGTTAGACAACGGATTGATATCAGTGAGAGAACCATTGAAAGCCACAGAGTACTGGACAGCCAGCTGTTTCCTCAGCCTAGTTTGGTATTCATCGCCAGTACGCACCCACCGGGGTTCGAATCCAGGACCTTCCGGCTACAATGCAAACAAGGTCGTGGATAACACTGTGAGACTTTATCAAAATAAATTTTACTCATAATGGAATCATACTCTGCCACAGTGAACAAGTTTTATTCTTATATCAATGAAGCAAGGTCGTATACCATTCAGCCACTGAGACCCGATTGTTCAATGGCCAGCCCACGAATTCTAACTTCTACCAATTCATGATTACAGCGCGACCACCAGCCAATGTCACTGGTGGGAAATCCATCCTCACTCCCGACTGCATGGATCCCACTGTTCACGAATTCTCACTAGAAATCCGGGAAACTTCGTCCTGTAGCTAGTCAATAGCGAGCGTCAAGTTTCAATCGGATCCCCGGCTATTTTATAGTCTTCTCTCAATACTACTCAAGATTAGATGCCTAGAAAACAGCAGCAACAGGGATCTCTGGCAGTGAGCGAAGCAACCCGGCAGGAACCAACGGTACAACAAATAGGCAGGAAGAAATGGAGGTGGATTGGAGGCCATACTCTGAGAAAACAAACCATCAGGTGACATCACACGCCAAGCTGTCGCTCGAGTGGAACCCGAATGGCAAGCTGCGACTTGGTTGATGGTCAGTGAGAGGGTGACGTAGAGGAGGTCATATGACGAGGAGATGAAAGCATATTGGCAGACGTAGAGCCAGGTGAAAACGTTGTTCTTTTAGGAACCAAAGGAGAAAATAATAATAGTAATTATACATACTTTCGGTATTCTAATTTTGAATAATCTCGCTGAAGATTTGACCAGTTTACCGAATGAAACGATGGAATTACTCATATGTCTAAACATGTCTCACTCAGTGCCCAAGTATTTTGGAATTATTCGGTCGAATTTTGATCACACTGAATAGTGAGTGACACAATGTTTATTGTTTTCCTTTTTTTACACTCTAGAATCACAACAAGTTAATGATGACAGCTCATTGCCTCAATTTAATCAACCTTCAGAATTAATTCAGATATACTCAACGTCAATGCAAGAGGTTCAACCTTTTGATTACATTTGTGATGAACTGTTATTAGTTTACATTTAATAAATTTGTTTATATTTAGAATTTCTTTTTTTAAACAAGAAACAACTTAATTATATGTATATATACTTTTAAAATATAGATTCTTTATTATCAAACATTGATTTATTTAACCATTCACTATTTACCTGAAAGGTATCTAATGTAGAGTACTTTTATTCACTGTCAGGGATTTGACTGGTTGCAGGTTTTGTTCACCAGCTGACATTAGTCAGAGAACCCATTGGAAAACCAGTCGTGGAGTACTGGTCAATCTCGTAACCAATCAAATCCTTGAAAACCTGTAACACTTGATAATTAATCTGATGCTCACTAGTGACTGGCCCTATTCAAATAGGCAGATACCTGGAGCTCTAGTGAGAAGCCGTAACCAACCAGCGATGTCAGCCAAGTCAGGCAAGAGGACAGTTTATCGCCTACGACACTGGCTGGCGGTTGCCCTAAATGCTTATATAAATTCAGAATAAAATATTTAGACCGAACAATTATGGTTTCAATAAATTCTTCTTTGTCAGGCTCTACAACTATAAATCCATTAATTTAAACATGCAATGGCCAGCCAGTAAAGGCAAATTAGAATCATATCAAAAAGTGTATTGTGGAACAATCACAAGATTGTATGGAACAGTAGTCAGTTAGTTTTTAATATGCATGGTCAATCAGAACAGGGGACAAAATGAGATGAAGTAATTTAATTTAATGATGTATATATATATATGATCAACAGAAAATACAGGTTTCGAGAGTGTGCGTAATCAGAGTGTGTGAGACAATATGAATACTACAGAAAATGAGCCAATGAATGGAGCGGACTAGACATAAGTTCAAGGTTGAAAATAACGACAATAATAATGATTGTAAAATAATAACGATGATATGATGGTGTAAAATGACAAGCACTATTGGTGAATGATTGTCAAATAATAATAATGAATATAATGAAGTGGAATGAACAGGATTTTGTAAATACGATAACAAGTTAGAAAAGCACTACTTAAACCGAAGGTAATAAAATCATAAGAAAAGTCATGAAATCATAAAAGTCCAAAATGAACGATTGTCAATGAAACAGAGGAATAGAAGAAGAAGAAGAAAAGAAGAGAAAATTGTGAAAGGAATTTATAGTGTTAATGGAGGATTTGTTGGCTTTATTGTAGGCCAAGGTAAACATAGTGGTTGAACATACTTCTTCTGTATGCAAAGAGATGGTCTCCTAATTTGCCTTTACTGGCTGTTGTATGCTTTAATGAATGAACTTATAATTGTAGAGCCTGAAGAAGAATTTATTGAAATCAATTGTTCGCTCCAAATATTTTGTTCTGAATAAATTATGGGAATATATATATATATCATGGATTGGAAGAAGTTGGAATTTATGGAACATTGAGTTGTGTCCCATTGGCTGAATGGTCTACTAGCTAGCTCACCTTTTAACCGGAAGGTCGCGGACTCCAACCCCCGCAGTGGGATGAGCTCAGACTGCTGAAAATTCCCGATCTATGACGAAACAGATGTCTAGAACTCCCTAGAAGTATTCCAGGATTTCCCCTACTGATGTCAGCTTGTGGTCGATCCTGTAAGTTTATGTGTGTATGCATACATATATATAGGTGTCTGTTTGTGTGAGTGTTATTGTCAGCTGAACATTGATAATCCCTACATAAACTCGACTGACATAGGATAATGAGCGAAGCAGTTAGTAGTTGATTATTTAATTTGGATTGATATGACCGAAGTGCCTGACCTATGTTGACATGTCAGCTCCTTGTGCGTACGCTTCGACAATGTCTGAGTTAGTATTTGGACACATTTATTCTAATTCTAACATATTAGATGGTTGCAGGAAATCGGCAGGAAGCCTTGGGCCTAGGTTTCGTGCTAGTTGGCACTCGTCAGCAAAGCAATATGCTGGTTAATTTCACTCCTTAAGCTCAAAGTAATATTTAGCAACAGAATTCACAATTTATAAATTACTTCAAAATTCTTCAAAATAATTCGCAAATTACACTCAAAGATGCACAGTTCAAAGTGATTATTTCATCACTGTTTCCTTTGGAAACTGAGATTGCTCAGATCACAGTGTGTGATTTTTTTTCCTTCACGTTCCCAGTGGAACATAGGGCTTCAAGCTAGTCGCTTGAAGTTTCTGTAGTAGTGTTTATTTTTACAGGATGGAGTTGCTAGCCTCATGCCCAACCTTTCCTCTTCACCAGTCTTAATACTGGCTAAGCGAGGTAAAGGAGTGCGTCTGTGGCCGGGAATCGAACCCCGGACCCTGTGTATGGTGGGCGAGTGCCACCGACGCACATTCTATTGAAGCTAATGCCTTTCCTTAATCCATCACACTGCTTAGATATCAGTATCAAGCCAGATTTTCTGATAAAAGTGAAACAAACGTACCACGGTTGAAGACTATAATGACACCGATATTACGTAATTCAGAAAAAGAACTATTTTATTGCGAAAAGTGATTTAAAAAGTATAGAAAAAATATAACTTCTCATAAGCCATTATAGGCACTGATTATGAAGCTACAAGTAGCATAGAAATGCGATAAGTCTACTAGGAGGCTTGTTTTCCTGTTGCTTGTTCGAAATAAGGTGTTGTGCAAATGCATATTACTCGATTCGGACAAATTACCTCTTCTTATTGTTTTGTCTAAACGTGTGTATGTCGTAATATCTATCATCCAAAGACTAGACTGATAAAAGGTCGAAAATGATTTAGTATACACGTAGGTGATAAATTCACTGAATATTTCTTACTCTTTTGCTTGCAATACATATTAGTTCCTATCTCTTGAAGAAATTGTTTCTTTGACTGTTGTTAATGTTGTTGAACTAACCATTTGAACATCTATCTGTATATGCATACTGAGTAGCCTATTGTTATGTACACTGACTCATGTATATCTGCTTATCCACCTATCATTAAGGTTAACATTTAAATTAAGGTATCCTCTTCCTAATAGGTCCCTTGCGTCATTCTACATTTCTCATTGATTGATCGACTGAGTATATTCCACCAACATTGACAGCGTCTAGGTGATTAACATGTCACCTCTTAGTAATTCGTCGTCATTAGAGATAGGGAATTTTCGCCCAGTTTCGAGATATAACAGCTGAAGCCCGTCGTAAAAGAGGTGATTCTCATAGCCGAAAAGTAATCTAGAACCTATTGGATAACTAATTAAGCATTTGAATAATGTGGGTGGGAAGAATATGATTCACTGTGAGTGAATGGCTTGCACTACTGACAAGATTTGCAAGTAGTATATAGATGGAGGTATAAATATGTCTATCATATGCAAGAATATCTATCGAATGGTCCACAGATGGATGGATGTAATCGAGAAGGGAGAAAATGGAGGATACTTATGGAAAAAAACCCATAGAAAACATGAAAAGAAGACAAGAGGAGTACAATACGTGATGGTAGCTGTATTTCACCGATATCTGTACATCCATTCACGTTTACAGATCCTCTTGTCTTCAGCCTTTTACGAATGCAGACACATCAAGTTGATGATTCTATCAGTAGTAACCAATTTAGGTTGTGTTTTATCCGGTGGACAGTGACATGTTCACAAACTGGCAGTCATCTCTCTTCTTTTATCCTGACAGAACTTTATTCGGGGATAGACAGTCCATCTATCGTGGATTGATTAAAAGAATATCCATACACTAAGTAGAATTTTATTTATATAACATTACAGATATCTCCTATTCTGTATACAATATATCTTAGCAGATTATTAAGACAATGAATACAGGTACGCTCAGTCATCCTAACAACAACAACACGAACGACACGAACGACAACAAAAACAGACATTAAAGTAACAATAAAAGAAGAGAGTATATTATCTTATGAAAGACTGTAGATGAATATACTGTCGGTATATTGATTCATAGGGAATCCACATTCTGATAAGATCTTAGCTTTTTTCTTGATTTCTTTACTTCTTTATGTTTCTGATGTTTCTTTTTGCGTGATTTCTTCCCCTTAGTCAATGATAAAAAGCAAAAAAAGGATTAGTGTTGATTAGTGAATAGAAACCAATCGATTTCTGATAACTCTTCTATTGTACTATTAAAGTTGGCGAATCACAGCAGGAATACTCTAATGGTTGATATTGGTGAAGTCAGTACTTTAAGCTGTAGTTGTAGAAATCTTCATCAATCAAATCGTCAAACTGTCAAAGAAAAGATACTGAACAGTACTCTCATCATGTGGTGATATGGAACCTGTTTAGTTAAAATACTTGTGCATAACAAGTCACATAACGTCTCTGATACCTTTTCAACAGTCATGAAACTGTTCATCCATCTAATTAGGTATCAGGAATTCATTGTTATTTAGCGTCTTCACAACTAAATCAGGCTACCGAAGTGTCTTCTTTGGTAACCTATTGTCCGTTTATGAAACAGGCCAAATTATAAGTCATCCTAGAGGTTCTCTCTGAAAGTGTTAGGCCACTTATGATCTGTTATTATTATTATTACCTGTATTGCTTCTCTGGGTTTCAAGTGGAACAAAAGGCCGCAACAGCACATCTCCACTTTAATCCTATTCTGTATGGTGCTTTTTAGCTGGGCCCACAATTGTCCATGGTCTCTCATCTCCTGCTGCCTAAACTATCTCCTCCATATCACTCTCAGATGACCCACTCATCTTTTCATATTCAGGTGCCACTGGACCTATGACCTCCATTGAGTGCGATATCAGCCATCGGTTTCCTCAGAATATATGCAATCCTGCTATATTTTCTTCCGCATATTTGTTGAACGATCGGTTGTTGGTTGATTTCTTCCCAGAGTTTCTTGTTGTTATTTCCTTCTAGCTAGCCATTTAATCCTCAATATGGAGTCATCGAAGGCAGTTGTTGACAAAAGTCTGCATCGGCTTGCTGGAAATGCTTTTTGTGACTTACACGCAGTGCAAGTTACTGAGCTATATAGAAGGAGTGACTGACTGACTGACGGACTTAACATTTGTGCTGA